CTGAGAAGTGTACAAAAGGGCAACTTCAGGTACCTGGGAAATTTTAACGTCAAAAAATTAGTCACCTGTAGGGTTTGGTCAATTCTAGAATTAGGTAGCAGCTGAGTAGAGGGCTTATAGACTGTAAAGAAATGCTGAAATTCTGTTTTAGTCACCTAAGATAAATCCTCAGATATCAATTTACACATACGCTTTAGGATATCCTCAACCTGTGCCTTCTCTCATCCCTCCTCCCTTACAATTTTTGTTCAAGCCCAGTCTCAAAGCCATCCACTTTGGTTTTTTTATTTCTTGAGCGCAACACTAAGATATAGCCATTGTTCCCCTGTGCCATGCATGGCAGAGCCTTTTTCTTTTGTCTCTTTCTGGGCAGTGGCAGGGGGAAGAGTGGAGAGGGGCTGGAATTACTGCTGGTGGCTTCCTTCTCACAAATCTTGCAGCACATGAATAACTTCCAAAACACACCACAGAAAAGGGTGAACTAGAACGTGAGCAGTGATGGGGCCAACCTATCTGAAAGTTTAGTGGAGCTTCCAGCACTGAGGTGGACTGCCACCAGAGGTCTGGGATTGGAGTTTACAGTGGAGATGGTTAGTGTTAGCATTTACAGAGTGAGGACAACCCGAGGGTTGCCCCATCTAGTAGTATAGACATAGAGAGAGTATTTTGGATCAGACTCTTACCATTAAAGAAAAACATTGCATATTATGAATACTTTGAGACTGTTTTGAGGTATGACAATGATTTAAGAGTAAGAGAAATGGCTATAACAGAAGTTCTGAAGAACTAAAAAAAAGAACACTTTTTCATAAGTTATAATACTAACACTTGTTTACTCCAGGAATGCAGGGATTTAAACACAGTGTAGTACGAACATTTGAAGAAAGAGAGGAATATTTTTCTTCCTCTGTTCTTATGCCTGGTTTGTTTCCTAAATGATAATCAATCCATCAGATTTTTCTGTTTTAGGGTTGTTGGTTGTAGCTGTGTTGGTCTAAGGACAGAGGCAGACAAGGTTCTATGGGTAGATGTGATATCTTTTATTAGACAACTAAATAGTTGGGAAAATGTTCTTTGCAAACTTTCAGGGACAAATGCCCTTCTTCAGACAATGGGAGACTCTGCTGGTGTTATGTGTTCTCCAAAGCAGAAAAGAAGCTAATTTGCAACATGCAGATCTGTGAAAATGCAAATGAGCGGTACCATTGTCTCTCATTTGCATTTGTATTGTCACAGACCTGCATGTTACAAATTAGCTTCTTTTTTTTACCTTGGAGAACACATAACACCAGCAGAGTCTCCCTATGGCTGAAGAAGGGTGTTTGACCTCGAAAGTTTGCAAAGAACATTTTTTTCCAACTATTTAGTTGGTCTAATAAAAGATATACGTACCCAAAGAACTCTGCCTGCCTCTGATTTCTCTGCACTCAATTAACATCAGCTGGTAGTGGTCAGACAACAGCAGTGACAGACAATTTTTTTTGGTGTGGAGATATCTAAGCTCTTATCCAATGTCTTATACTTTCTTAACAAAGCAGGTTGTTCAAATCTCTGTAATCCTTGACCCCCTTGTCTTGCTTAGTCAGTGAATGCAGAAAATCAATGGCTAATAATAGCAGATAGAAATCTTATTGTGGCAAACAAGGAGGAATTGAACTACTGCTTCTTAGGCATAGAAAGATATGGAAGCTTTTTTTTTAACTTGATGAGCTGTGCTACCAACAGCTTTCAGTGGGTTTATTTTTAAAAAAAGCTGAAGATTTTTTTGCTCTTTTATTTTGTCCAGACTTTGTTGCTACAATCTGAAACAGTCTCTGTCCTACCCTACAAATGCATTCATTTAATGCTTGTTTATATGCTTTAAAAGTGGCATGTATTAGTGTGGTATCCAAAGCAGCATCAGAACCTGCATTCACAGTAGCATGTAGAACATAGCATGAGACTGTACAACTGATAAAGCTGAGGTAAAATTGAACTCAATGCAGTGAGGAGTGCACTGGGACATAGTCCAACCTATCACTCATTTTCTGGATGACTGGGCAGCTATGTCAGCCCCCCTTGCCTCAGTTTATCCTATTTATAAAGCAGAGATAACGATACTGTCTTTGTAGACCGCTTTTAGATACTGAGGTTAAAGAAACAGGCTATCAGCACCACAGCACATCAGTTTGGGAATAAGGAATGCTAGAGCATGAGATTATCGTTAGTTATATCAATACCGTGAAATTATTATGGATAAATATTAGAGAGAACTGCAATGAGAGAACTATAGGAGAGAACTACAGAGTACTTATTTGCGTCATTTTTACCACTACTCCTGTACAGTTCAAAGTAGGTCAAGTGTCCCTGTTTCGCAAACCAATTGGCCTTGTACATAGATCTTAGCAAACTGTTATGATGATGTCCAAGAAGGAATGGAATCCAACTCATTCCTCCTTACCCCTGTTGGTTCTGTAGGGATAAGAAGAGAGACATTTAAGAAAGCTTTATCTGTGTTACTAAATCAATCAGTTCTGATCCTGAACTGCGGGGAGTTAGCCTGTTGAATAAGGTGCCTTTTTATTGAGTCTTTTATTGTACATGGTAATTTCAGTTAAACAGCCCAGCTTTCTGGCTTTGAACTTTATCATTTAGGACAGGGATGGCAAATCTGTGACACAGGTGCCACAAGTGGCACATGGCAGATTGGGGAGGGAACAGGCAGGTTAGTAGTAGATAAGGCAAAGAACAAAAAGGAGAACATTAGATCAGGCAGGGAGCATAGGGCAGGGAGCAGAAAACAGAGCAGCAGATTGGGTAGGAGAAAGGGATTGGAGTGGTATTAATCTGTGGCATACTTGCCAAGAAGGTTGGCCTCCACTGATGTAGGGTGTGATCCTGAACTCATAAGCAGAAAAGCTTCCACTGACCTTAGTTTAGGCCTGATGCAAAACTCAGTGAAGTTGATGACAGCCTACTGACTTATTTTAGACTTGGCTTAGGTTTTTATAGAATGCAAGTCTGATTCTCCATTCCTTGTACGAGGAAACTACTATTACCTCATATGGCTGATGTTAAAGTTAAAAGATAGGCTCCAGAAATGAAAGAATATCAGTTTCAAACTAATTTCCTAATGAGTAACAGTTTGAAACAGAAAGGCACACTTACATAATTTGACAATAAGATTGAATGTAGTGCCAATGGTTAATTGGCTCAAATTAATTGACCTCAATACAATAGCAGATAGAGAGTGGGAAAATATATTGATGAGGAGGAAAGGTAAATTGGCATCTACAGGCAATTTGGCATTGTTTGGAAATTGACACTAATTTCCTCAAACGTTTTAATGTCATTTTTTCACTATTTAGGAGCATTTTCTCACCTTCAGAGGATATTGGCACTGAAGAAGAAAGAGCTGATTGAAGACTTTGTAAGCATCCATGTGCACAAGAGTGGATCAACATTACTGGGAAGAGTCACAGGGGATCTAGGAATTAAGAGGAAACAGCATCTCTAGTCCTAGAGGAATGGACTTTTTAAAACCTGATTGTCCTTTCATTTTTGCCTTTTGTCTACATTGAACAGTTGCTTTACATGGACGGAGAGTGCCTGTGCTATACTCACTGTACATTGGGTTAACTTGAATTTGTTTGACTCTTGTGGGTTTATCTTCGGGTTTTTAAAAATTTTTTTGCATATGAATTCAGTCTCTTTAATAAAGTGCATGATTTATAAGCAGCTGGCCACCTTATTGTGTACATGGAGTCTGGGGGCCTGGGGTACTGCTGGAGAATAAGGGTTTGCCTTGCAATTGGATGTGCACTGACAAAGCACTAGACCAAGACAGAGCTCCACTGAGGTCAACAGATCTGGACTGGTTCCAAGCTGTTGGCTTATTTTGTATAAGCATAATTTTAGACACATGATAAAGCACAATCAACATATACTAAAAGAACAGCATCCCTCAAAATCACCTGGGACCATGCAAACTTCCAACTTCCAATTTCTTCCCTGAAATTATTAAAATCCAAACCATGTTTTGTGCCCTAAGATAATAAGATATCCTCGAAGGGAACAAAGAGTTTAAGAGGGGGTATCAATAAAGAATACATATGGACATTAATTTCATGATGTACAGTGAATACTAGGGAGCTGTTTCCCTCAGTTAGTGTTTGCTTTGGAAATTAATAGGAGCTTTGCCCTTGATTTCTGTGGGAGCAGGAGCAGACCCTAAGAAAACAAAATAAAATACCAGTAAGTCAAATGTAAAACAATAGCATTTAAAAATACGTAAAGAGGTTTTGAGTTCATTTGAGTGAACTCTTGTGTTTAACTCTCAGTACCTAAGGGCAAGTGAGACAAAAGGATTCCAGAGTACACTTCAAGGTCCCATTCTTGTGTTGTCCAGGGCCATGTACAGAGCCCATATGACTTAAATTGTACAAATCACAGTGCAGTGTTGTGGGATCTAAGTGTTTCTGCCCCAAACATATTATCCTGATGTAAAAAGGGATGAGAATTTACTGAATATCTACAAAGTAATTATACATGTAGAACCTCTTACCCTGTGGTAAGTGAAAGCTAATCTATGACAATCTACTCTTAGATGAAAAAAGGCTGAGCTGCCACATGTTACCTTTCATATGCTGTAGGGCACAAGCATACACACAGGAAGTTTGCAGTTCGATCCTCCACCCTCCTGATTCAACAGTGAACGTCCATTGGGTCAGGAGGGTTGGTCTAATTCATGGTGCTTTCTGTGAAGCACCATGAATTAGACCAGGGAACTGCACACCTGTCAGTGCCCTTTGTGCATGTGTATGCCTGCATAAAAATGGTTATCTAATAGATGTATCATAAGCAGAATAGGGAGAATAGCTCAGGGTGAGAATGGGTTGGGAAATATTAAATATTTTTTGTTAAAAATTTCAAAAGGCAAAAATATGTTTTCTACCATATTTTCATGAAAGCAAAGCAAAGGTTAAAGGTGACGCATGTTCTTAAATATCTGAACTGTTATAGCACTGATTCTCAATCAGGTGCCGTGGCAACCTGGGGTGCCTTGAGAACCTGTTCTTGTGTGAAAATGTGATTCACAAGATAAATCCAGAGATTTCAAATAGGAATCCATAGTTTAAAAAACTTTCTGACCTTCCATGGACTTTCTGAATTCTTTGCAATAGAAAAAATATATTATCGTTGTATCTATAGTCAAAAAATGAGTGAAAACTAAGAAACCCATTTTGCAAGGGGTGTCTTGTATCTAACAAAGGGTGCCTTGAGTTTAAAAATTTTGAGAACCAATGCTCTATAGAAAGCGAACACAAACACAGACGCATCATGTATACAGAGGTGGGTAACTGTGTTAGTGTAGTCAGGAAGAAGGTAGGGCAAGGTACTTTCTTGCCTTACCTTGTGTCAGACTCATCACATAGTTATCAAGAGTACTCTTTGGCATTGCCCTTTGATGGGATGGAGGGTGTTTCTTGTATTTCTATTCTGGTTCTTTTTAATTCATGTTGTGTTTGTTGGGAGAGGTGGAAGGGAATGATCTATGCTTTTTTTTAAACAGCCACAGTCCTCCTATAGGAAAGGTGGAGTATGGGCATGTGAGGAACATGCGGGAGCAGGAGGGATCTTCCTGAGGGGGGAGGAGTGGGAGTGAGGGTGGGACATGGTCAGGAGGGAATGGGAAGAGGTTTTCTATATCTAGATGTGAACAGGAGTTGGGAAGTTTGAGAAGTACGGTTGGGACAAGCCAGAGGGTTTGCTCTCCTGGGTGATAGGCAGGGAAGCAGGTGCACAGGTGGTGGGGTAGAGTTTTGGGGTATCTCTAGCAACCAATTATGCAGGGGAAGTTGTTGACCTCCTCTTTTCTCCCTTCAAAAAGCAAGAAAGTTGATGAAATTCCATTGCCAGCCAAAATGACACGCAGTGAAGAAATCTACGTCATAATTCTGCATCAACCGTTTTCCTAATTAACAGGCTATAACACCATTTATCCTTTGTGGAAATGGACCGAGAAAGGTGCATATGTGGGAACAGGTTTTTCAGAAACAGTTTATTTTATAACACACAGTCATTGTATGAAGACAGTTAGAAGCATTTGCTGTGATGGGAATAGTCCATGCTATTAATTGTGCTGAAATGAAACAACAGTACAATTAAGTGTAACCTTGCAAGTAATGAAGCTCATGGAGGAACTCCACCTCAGGTAGTTTTTCACATCTGAAGGCCTCAGAGCCCAATTCCATTTCACAGCTTAACCCTTGCTTGCTTTCGACTCAATTACTTGGCATGAATTTGAACCTAATGATGCTGATAGTATGATGATGTTGATGTTTGCTATTGCGGCCATTTGAGGGTAACAGTATTAGTAAGAAAAAGGGGTTCATGTCTAATTGCAAGGTTGTTTGGTTCCTTACTCCTGCCCTGTTATTTTAAACATGCATTGTTTGAATTGGGCCCATGGCTACAGGGAGAAGGTTGGGGTTGTTGCCTCTCACCATCACTTGCAGATCTCAAAGCAGGGTGGATGTGAACTGTGAGTGTTTCAGGTAGCTCCTGCCTCATCCTCAGCCTGGGTGTGTTAAAGGGAAACAGAACACAACCGGTGGTCTTACCAAAGCAGGGACTGTGGCCCTTTGGCCATTTTGACAAATATGTTTAGCCTGAAGAAAACAACTGACTACCTCCCATAAGTGCCCTTTCTACCTTTCTTCAGATGGCACCACCAGTTGGGTGCCACCGGCAGAGATGGTTATGTGAGAGAATCTCTAGTTCGGGCTTTCTCTTCAGGTCCAGGGAATCCTTAGCTAGTGTAAAGTGGGTACAGTTGGTTCTACCCCACCTACACACTTTCCTGTACTTGAAAGGGATGTGTAGGGACAACACAGGCGTTCCTGAAATCTTGTCCAATTCTCAGCTGGTAGAGCAGCCATGTGGCTGCCCTGGGTTATATCAAGGGTTATTTCAGCCCCTCTGGCTCCATGATTGGGAGAATATGAAGATGACTTATAGCTGAATGGAGCTGGGGCAGATTGCTCTGTCAAGGATTTAGGACAGTATCTACAGTATTTAGATCAGTTGCAGTTTCAGTGAAATATAGGTTTAAGTATAAATAATTAAAATAACGTCTAGAATGTAACAGGAAACCTCTTCCCCTGTTATTAAGAGGGTTTGAGTGGGTAAAGGACTGGGGATCAGGCAGCTAATGAGGCAATTAACTGTACCTGGAACTGGAGAAAGAGAGACAAAATGATCAATCAGGTGGCCAGAAGTGGGCTGAGCTAAGGAATATAAGCCCAGTCTGTGAGTTGGGGAGGGGCAGTCTGGCTCTGCAGGTAGCAGAGTGAAGAGCTCCTGTGCAAAGTGGCCACAGGAGGTGGGCCCATGCAGTGCCAGACAGCTATGAAAAAGAAGCAGCCAAGGGGAACTCTTAGGCTGCAGGAAAGTATTAACCCAGAGTTAGGAGGATTTGGTTTTGCAGCCACGAGGCTGGCACTTATAGTTTCATAGTAGGTAGGGTCAGAAGGGACTTGAGCAGATCATGAAGTCTGACCCCCTGCCATGGCAGGAAAGAATACTGGGGTCAAATGACCCCATCAAGGTGTTGTCCACCCAGCCTCCTTTTAAAGCCCCCCAGGGTGGGAGCCAGCACCACTTCTCTTGGAAGTTGGCTCCAGATCCTAGCCGCCCTGACAGTGAAGTAGCACCTCCTGATGTCTAGCCTGAATCTACCCTCTGCCAGCTTGTGACCGTTATTTCAAGTCACTCCTGGTAGTGCTCGGGGGAGCAGGGACTCCCCCAATACCTGCTGGTCCCCCCTGACCAGTTTGTAAATGGCCACTAAATCCCCTCTCAGCCTTCTCTTGTGGAGGCTGAACAGGTTCAGATCCCTTAGCCTCTCCTCGTAGGGCCTGCCCTGCTGCCCCCTGTTCATGCGTGTTGCCCCCCTCTGGACCCTCTCCATGCTGTTCACATCCTTCCTGAAGTGCGGCGCCCAGAACTGGATGCAGTGCTCTAACTGTGGCCTGACCAGTGTCACATAGAGGGGGAGGATCGCTTCCTTGGAGGTGATCCTCCTATGTTTTGGTTAGATCTACCGGTAGACCAGAAGTGGATATAAGGGATGACAGAGGCCACAGACAGGCTGCTTGAGGGCACTCCTCTGCAATAAGCACCAGAGATCAGGCCTGAGACAGAGGGGCAGAGTTTATTGAGGTGCAGGTGGACCCCCAGGAAAGGGGATTGCCATCTAGGCAAGGCAGAGGTCTTGAACAGTAGGCCCAGGTGAAAGGTATGGCCAGAGAGGAAAAAGGGGCCAAGGCTGTAACAGCGGGAACCCTAACTAGTGCACCAGAAACCTACTGGATGTGTCCCCTTAAAGAGGAAATACTGTGAGAAGGCAAAAGGCCCCATGGGTGGTTCAGGAGGGCAGACAGACCAGCCTACCCCACAAGGTGACAACTGACCTCAAGGACACCTCCCATCAATAATAAACAACGTCAAAGGCATGGTGGGTGAGTGATAGGGCATGAGGCAGGGTTGGGAAGGACCAGCAAGTGGAGCTTAACCGTGTGGATATTGCACAGAAAAAGCTCCATGTGCTCTAAGAATTAACTAGACTTAAAATCACAAGTTTATTACAATCCAGCAGCAGAAAACATCAACAAGCAAGGAATGAATACGTTTGGCCAGACTAAACCACTGCACAAAATCCATCCCTCTAGACCTCCCAGACATCCTTCCCCAGAACATGTCTATAAATGTGGCCCCTTCTCCCCCAGTCTTTGTCAAATAATTGATATTTCTGGCATGCCTCACAGGGCATCAAGTGTAGGCTGTTTTGGACTGTGTCTTGTTACAGAGAGGTCCATGGTGGGCGGGGGTGGAAATCATCATTTTGGTCAATCCTCCCAGAGGATCATTATCATTACCTCATGATGTAAAATACCAGCAGGCTGCATGGAGACTCCTCCCCACACAACTCCAGCAATACAAACCCCAAGCAGTGCAAACTCAGCTTTTTCTCAGGCTTTCCTTGTTACAAATCCTGAATGTGTTTCACTTTGTACTGGCCTAAACAAAGCTTGACTAAAAACAGAGTAAAGATCTCAGGATACCTATCTACATTACTAAAGATGTACTTCCTTGTGTTTCAATCTGGTGCCATTAAATATAGTTTCTTAGGCCAAGAAGGACATTCGCCTTGCTGCAAAGGTCAATAAATTCCCATCCATATTTCACCCTTTCTCTTTCCATACATTTACAGCTCCATCTGCTTTCCAGTGGTCCTTATTTTACCATTGCTTTCAAGTTTTCTTATACTGTATAATTAGCAAACTACTAACTATACTTTACTATTTCATCATTCATTTGCTGTATACCAGTGATCCTCAACTAGGGTGCTGGGCCACCCTGCAGGGTTGCCAGATCCTTTAAAGGGTGCCACAAGGTATGAGAGAATTGAAGTGTGAGGTGATAAGCAGACAAGCATTAAACACAGGCTCAGGCTTGTTCCTACTTGGCCAATCCCCCAGCCCCTCTGCAAGGAGAAAAGCACTGTATTTTTTTTAATTAGATGCCACTCAATTCACAAAAGTTATGTAAGGTGTCTTGAGTCCAATGAGAGGCACCTTAAATCCAAAAAGGTTGAGAACTGCTGCTGTAGACAAGCTGCTTGTTACTTTCCAGTCCCTCCCCTTCATTTCTCATATTTATTCTTGAAAGATTACATTAAACGTGATGTAGGACTTCTGCAATAAAAGGTAGGATGAAGCGGTAAAAATGTTTGTTACCATCATCATCAGTTTAAAAAAACTGCATTATCATTGTGTAGCTGCATATCAGCATATGACTTGCTGTACTTTTGTTTTCCTCCAAAGCTTCTAATGGGACTTTGGTTACACTCAAGTCAAAACCTGTTTCTAGGTCCACAGTTTCATTTTTTTTTTTTTTTACACAGAAGTTTTGTTTCTGCTTGCCAGATACTCAGCTGATATACAATGACATAGTTCTATTAGCTTCATCTGTAAGGGTATGTCTACATAATACAGTGCAGTGCCTTGTAGAGGGACCTGAACTGTCTCTGATCAAAGTAGCTCAGGCATTGCAGCAATATAGATCTGTGTTAACCTGAGAAAAGCACTGCTCTAATATACCCAACTTCTCGAAGTATATTAGACCAGGTGGAGGGCCATGGTAATACAGCTACATCACTTTCTGTACTTGAGCTGGTTTGTTTGGAGCCAGTTACCTAGCATTGTACTATGTCCTGACCTAAGTAATCTAGTAGAGGTAAAATTATTTCTGAATCATGATGGCTTTCATCATTTATGCAAATCCATGTCCACATTGGTACTTATTTGTTCTCTGTATCTTTTGCAGAACAATGACCGCAGGATGATGGATCTACATTCCCATTCCTTAGTTTTTGAAGTACAGTATTTTCTTAGCAGCATGTGTTCCTCACTATAGTCATTAACCAGAAACATACAGCAGAATTCCAAAGAAATAAGCACCATGGATCCTTTACAGAGCAAGAATGGCCTGAAAGAGAGAGAAATTGTCAATAGTAAATACTGGTAACGCATCACACATTCAGAAATCTTGCCTTTTCTTTATCTATCCGGTAGTAAACTAATAACCCAGACCCAACATTTTGTCATAACCTTCAGCCTTATCCCAGAACAACTTTAAGATATCCTGAACCTGACTCTCCTTGGTTACTCCAATCTATGTTGGTGTACCTCGTTGAAATAATCGAGTTACAATCACATAAAGCAGTTATAACCAGCAGATGTTATGACCAAAAAGTGCAAGGTTATATAGGCAGTCAGGTCATAGTTATCCTTCATACTAGTACCTAAAGAACTCAAAATGGGTCCAGGGATCATACCTGACAAATGCTGAAGGATCTAGGCTAGGGCAAGCCATGGAGGAAACTTTGACGGCTGCCTTTTTTTGAATTATCCTCCCACAAAAAAGGCACAAGGAAAAGAAGCCATGCTTCAAGGGATGTACTTGGCTGGCAAAGCACATTAACTTGTGGCATGAATGGAAAAGTACAAGGAGCAACCAAAAGTTACTGGAGGTTGGAGGGGCAGGACTGGGAGGAGATCAGCTAAAATTGTATCTTTCTTGATGAAAGGATAAAAGAGCTGAGATTTCAAAATCTAGCCACTAAAAAGCAGTGAAGCATAAAAGCCACTACCTCAGAAAATAAAAAACTTGCTGAACGCTAAAGTAACCTAAAAAAATAAAAAGCAGGTGAGCGGACCTGAGAGTTAAAGGAAAGGGTTAAATCAAAACAGCAGACAAGTTTTAAATGAAGTCCTAACACTTCTGTAATTTACAGAACAGCTGAAAGGCAACAGGGCATACAAATTTTGCAACTCTAATGAAAATGAATTGTTAAAATAAAAACACCCAATAAACACACTAAAAATCTTTTTAAAGAAACAGTAAAAAAAAATTAAAAGTGGCAAATTAAAGTGGAAATTATCTTTTCCCCCCAGCACACAGGTAAAGGAAAAAGCTAAAGGTTTTCCAGAACAAAGGTAGTCAGGGAAAAAGTAAAAGGCTAAAGAGTGAAAACAGGCTGATGATCTCTAGAGTATACATGAACTTAAAAGCCAGTTTCAATTTACAAAAACAAGGCAGCATCAAGATGATTGTTCTCTTTGGTTTATTAAGAACAGTGAATGCAAATATAACAAAACTTAAAAATATGCAAATATGCCTATCCTGCAGTCTCCTTCAGGTGGGGATCGTAGCCAACAAAATTTAATCCCCCTCATAGACACTTGATTTGGTGTATGTGCCTGGCAGCTGGTAGTGCTAATAAGAGCAGTAAGGATGAGAAAATATCAGTGTGTGAACTTTAAAGACTAAATAAGGCTGGAATGGAATGGATGCATGGCCTATGAAAACACATGGCCACTGAATACACAGTGCTAGCAAACAAAATAAAAATAAATGCAGGTTTTTTTCTAACCTTTTAGATATTACAAACAACAAGGTTCTTGTGAAATGTTTTGGATTTAGATATGCATATGTATCAATAAGTAAGCAGTGGGAGGGACTTCTAAAGGAATCAAATGTCTCTAAAGTGGTCAAAGCACTTTTTCCTTCTCATAAATTCAGATGCCTGGTTGGTAAAATGCAAATTCATGACTCTCAGATGCTGAAAATATAGACAGTTAAGAATTTCTCTTTTCTATTCCATGCTTTTCAAAGCTGGATGTGTCAGATAACTTATCCTTGAAACATACTGGCTAAAGCCATCACCCCTGTTAAAAACAAAAAACAAAACAAAAACCAGTAGAAAGTAAAAACAGACATTCCAGAAACATTACCTATTATCAGGTAATATAGCAATGAGAAGAATGAGCCAGTTCAAGAGCTGGTATCAATCAGTGCAACATTGGAAAAATCACATTGATTTATACTAGCTGAGGACCTGCTGCTAACTTCTTTGAGATGGGTAGGAATATATAGGACTAATAAAACTGGAGCATTCTTCTCTAGCCCATGGAAGTTGCTGGTGAAGTCAGTGGAAGCAGAACACAATTAAATTAGATTATCACAATGTAAATCTGGGAAACTTTAGAGAGCCAGACATGGCTTCAGTTACCTGGGAAACAGTGAAATGAAGCTGTAAAGTGAATGCTGGCCTCCCATCACTTCCAAGCTGGCAAAGTTGCTTGATTGATTAGATCAGAGAAAGACCTGCAAACATGTTCAGCTGCGGAGAGTAACACCTCCTTTAAAACAGATTGCTGAGCTGTAAAGCAAGACAGATTGCATACCTTTTAGAGCATATGCTACAGCAAAAGTCCTGAATATTATATCTAAAACCCCACTTCCAGGTACCTCTTTGAAAATGAAAGCTTTGTCAGCTTTGCTTATTAAGAATGTGAGGTATCCTGAGTGCTGTACTGATTATGAAGGGATTTTGTGGGATTGGAAAGCAAACAATTGTGGACTTGTACAACAGAGGAAGAAGAGATCTCTGAGGTTCCTGTCTATAAAGTGAGGCCTGAGCATCCTAGGCAGCAGTCCTGCATAGGACAATGTCATGAGGTTGGTCTGGGAATGCAGCTGCTTACGTTATTTTGCCCCCCATGCTCTCCCTTTGTTTCAGTATAGCTTCTGCTAATGCAAGCCTATTTCTCTAACTGACTGTTACAACATCTTGCCCACTTCTAAATGGCTCCAGCACTGGGGGCTTGTTTCTGGGTCCAAATATGGAGTAATTCTGTTTAAATCAAAAGCTTTGCTCTGGATTAAGTGTAATAGACTGATGAGGCATGTAGTGGAGGTTCTATAATAAGAACCGGGAGAAAATTAACCTTTGATTCCTAGTTCTGATGTGTATAATCTGTATATTATGTGCAGATTTTAGTCCAGATTATACCTATACTAATACTGAGAAAAACCTTGTTCTCACATTTAAAAAAAAAAAAAAATTTTAATACTAGAATAGAATTTGGTCCATTGGGTCGAGTTCTTGATTCTTTCATCTTTGTATGCATCAATAATTGCTCCGCTGAAGTCTATGAAGATATGCAAGGGTAAACTGGATACTGGAAAGAGGAGTCAGGCCCAGCATCTGATGACTCTAGGAACTCTTACCTGGTTGTACTTGGAAAGACAAAGCATCCTTCAGCTTCGTCACTAGCTGCTGTAATTCCTCCTCCTCTTCCATCTCCTTCTGACGAAGTGGCACTTGTGCTGCAGCATGACCAGGAGCCAGGGGCAGAATTTCACTGTGAAGGTCCCTGGTCACTTCAGGTTGGCATGTCCCTGGCTGACATGTTTGAGGGATACCTTTCTCTCTTGATTTCTCATGCTGTCCCATTAAAGGATTTCCATGCTGCACAGGTATGGACCTCAACTTGCCACCTGATAATGTCATGTTGACTGTAACAGGATCATCCTGGATCTGTAAGAGCTGCCCTCCTTGTACTAAGCTAAAGGGGTCCTTGGCTTTACAATTCCCACATGCTCCAGGGCTGGCCTTCAGTAGAATAGAATCCAATGCAGTCTGTAGCCTAATTCCCTGCAAAGCATCCTCATGTTTTGCCTCCATATTTTGGCCCAGTGTGAATGAAGGGTGATTTGGTGGCTGTAATAATACCTATGGTAAACATAACACGGGAATAGACCTATGCAAGTTCATTTTTCAGCTGCCGGTAGTTCCTAAAACTTTAAAAGAATTAATTTGGTCAACCTGAAACTCTTAGTTTGATTAACCAGAGGGAGGGAGGAGGAGAGAATATTTCATTTTACATTGAACAAAATAATGTCTCTGACCTGAAATTAAATGTTTTATTTTCATTTCAATGATTGTTAAATACTTTTTTTTAAAAAGAAGCTTAATTTCAGAATAAAATGTTCTGTTTTGAACAATCAAAATAATTTGTTTTTAACAAAATGTTTTGCTTCATTTTTTTTTTTTTTTAAATTATTTTACGTAACTGAAAATGACCCAGATCTGTGAAATATTGTGGGTGAGCCAAACCTGCACTTCTCGGTGGGGAAAAAGATTTCATGAGAAACTAATTCATTAGGTTCTACACAGGAACTTCGTGTTGACAACTTCTGATACAATACTAGTAGAAGCCCAGATAGGATGCATAGCCTTATGGTTAAAGCATTGAATCAAGACGCAGAAGGACTGGTTTCAATTCCTACCCCTACAACAAAATCCCAGTGGAAAGCAGTTATTCTTCCTGTGACAATATAATATGAAAAAAGGCTATATGTGCTTCCTTTCTCTCAGCCTGTCTTGTCTAATTGGACTGTAGCTCTTCAGAATGTGATTTTTTTTTTTTCTATTCTTCTGTACTGTATAGTACCTAGCAAAATGAGGTTAAGGTCTCAGATCCAGACTGTAGGCACAAATGGCTCAATGAGAATTTTTCCATGGATTTCAGATCAGGCCCATAAAAAACAAAACAAAACAACTGGTGTGTATAGAGAAATCATCAGGCTCTATCTTTTTATCTCTTTGCATTTCCCCCCCACTGTCTTATTTCCAGAGTATTAGGTCTAATTACGTTGTACATGGGTTTTATTTCTTAATTATCAATTTCTGTTAAGATGTTGTAATTTCAGTCTGAAGATATTACACCCCATTATGTCAATAAAAAGTGGAGGTGATAATAGCCCAAGACTTAATTTGCTGGAAAATTATTCTAGTAGAATCTAACTAAGAAATCAAACTGCAAATATATGAAGTGAGAAAATGGCTCATGCAAAGTAATTCATCACATTTTACAGAGGAAGTTATTGTTGATAAAATCTGATACGATACTAATAGAAACCCAAGCAGAGAGGAAGGATAGCCTTATGGTTAAGGAACTGAAGCAAAACTCAAAAGGACTACATACACACCCATACCCACACACCAGGTTGGGTCACTTGGTATGGGCTGTACATGCAGATTGCACGTACATAAACCTAACTGCAAGATGAGGTCTAATTGTACAGTGTGTGGACTGATGATTTTCAATAAAAACAGCACTTAAAATTTAGAAAGCAAGGATACTTTACATGAATCAGAATTAAAATATTTAGGAAGAAGTAAGGCATTTGCCATTGGCATAATTCATTTCTATCTGACAATTTAGGAGGGAAATTGGGTATATCACAATTTTACTAAGCAGTTTTATATATCTTTCCCATGTAGGGTTTCTCCGTGTAGTGTGTTTTTTAGTAAGGTTTAAACATAGCAGATAATGAGATACTGAGCAATTCTCTGGGGAGACTCTTCCATCATCTGAATCCCTCCAAAGGCTCCCACATTCTTATTCATTTTTATTCACTTTGATAGGTTTTGAAGAGAAATTCTTATTTGTATTGCAGTAGCTTCTCGCAGCTCAAACTATGGGCAAAGACTTTGTGCTAGGTACTGTACAAGAAAAAATGTCCCTTCCCTGAGGAGTCTATACTCTAGTTGTCAATATGCAAGCAGGGAAAGCACAAAGAAACAATAATATAGTGCTGGTCTATGAAAAGTTGTTGGAGTATGCCATTTGCCTGCTTATTGCTAAGATTCCTGGTGTGCTGTTCATCCTACCTTTATTTCCTGCCTCATTTGCTGGAGCTCTGCCCTTAGGCTTTCATGGTTTGCCATCAATACTTGGAATTTTGCTTCTAGTTTGCTGTTTGTGTCTTCCTGGGAGTTGTGGAGGAGCTGAACTTTGGCTTTCCATTTGTTTAACTGCTTCTTCAGGTACCTGCCAAGCCACAGAGAAGGGCAAGGGGACAAAACGAAATAACCCATGTTCATTAATGCAGGGCATAGGAGAATAATAGGGTGGCACAGATGCACACAAGATTTACTTATCTTTGGAAATATCTCTGGGGTGGGGAGGTCTGGGTGTTGGGAACTAAGCTAACCTGATTATACAGCAACCTCTGTCATAAGGGTATTCCGGGCAGGAAAGGGTATGAACAATGCTGAAGAGGTACATCCAGAATGTTTCTTTAACCCTGCAATAGCCATAGACCCCTCTGCCTGGGGTAAACTTACTCCTGGTAGGCCCTGAATAGTGGAGTGCAAGCTGCCCTCTGTCTCTGGGTATATTTAAAGAGGATTCTAGCCCACAATTCCCTAATCATGTTCTGTCTTCCTAAATACCTTCTGTGTGGTGTCTTGCAATTAAAAGTGCTGACTACCCACACACTGGAGAAGGAGCATTAGAGATTATGTACATAATAGCCACTCACGGCAGACAATACATACATTCCACCCACTTCTCTAATCTAGGGACAGGATCTGATTGATAAATGCTACCCACAGGATAGCAATAGAGCTCTGTCTTCCATACTGCTGGGATGGAGGCAGAGATGGAAAAGCTGGTTAGCAGGGAAGCAGTAAACTAGCTTCTGTGTATAATTAAAATAGTTATTTCTATTGCTCTGTTTTCTCCAAAAACTCATCTGATTAACTTTCCATTGTATAATGTGTTGGCTGATGTAAGCAACAAACAATACTATTGTACATTCATTGTGCCTAATAGCTATTTCTAAGAGAAAAAACACCCTAATAAAAAAAGAACACTAAGGTTCAAGAAAAACCCTTGAATGCTTGTCTTCCTGGCTGGAGTAGCCCCAGTGATTTTTAGCTGGTGTTATTTATGTTAAGTGATTTAGTGTAGCTGTAACACGCACAGAAGTTGGAACATTCAAAGTGTTTGCATCGTTCTTTATATGGCAGCATTTAATCTGGCTCCATCCTGCAGGGTGCTAAGCACTTTCCAGCTATTTCAGGGCTCTATCCCATAAATATGCACAGGAATAAATAACCTTGCATGAATAATTTCAATGACTAATACTGGGGAAAGGAGGAGACTATTGTGAGTGGAGTTACTCATTTGTGGGCTTCAGGGTTGGGTCCTGAGGAAGGGTGAGATAACAGTGAGGCTAGGGACAGACATTCAGAAAGCCTGAGCCTGAATTGACTCAATCTTTGCAGGTTAGTCTAACCTGGTGAGGCTGAACTAGTTTGTAACCACACAGATATCCCCTTTGGACTGAAGAAATGCCAGCACCTACCTGCAGTGGCTCAGGCTAGAAGCGAGGGGGCACTAGAGCAGCTTTCCCTTCCCTTCAACAGTGCTGAGCTGGGGGGTGGGGTGTGGCGAGGCCCCAGCCAGATATTTTGATTAGGTAGGGGTTCCCCTTCCCCCCCACTTCGCTGCTTCTGATTGGTGAGGGAACGAGCAGGGAGTTGCACCAGGAGTTGATAACAGAACATTTAGCACCCCATCATAACAAAATAAAAGCTTCTCTCATTAGTTCAAGCTCTTCTTAAACATCTTTTTTTCCAAGGAAGGAATGGAGGGACATTACCAGCTACCTGTTGATTAGCTCCAAAAAGGCCTAAGTGGATACTGTCTTGTCTACCTTTGTGCTACACAGATGCATCTCAGCATTAGCTAGCATACGCAAGCTGGCTATGGTCTGTGCTGTGGGAGCAGGGGAGGGGCAAGAGGAACCCAGGCAGATGCCACTACCTGTGGTGTCTGATAGAGCTCTAGCTAGGGAGCTGGCGGGGAGGGGGTAGGGCCAGCCCTGCTGTGGAGCAAAGAGCCCCACCCAAGGCTGCAAAGCATCTGGGATGCTGGGGGACTCTGGTTTAAGTTAAACCAGGAAGGGGCCTAGGACAGACATTGCATAAACTGGTTTGACCCAAATTGGTTAAATCTGGTACTACATTCAGCCAGATTTATCTCAAGCCACTTTCAAACTGATTTACGTGCAGTGAACATCTGTTCTGTTACAGACTTAAACTGGCTTATGTGTAATGTCTGTCCCTAGCCTAAAGGAGCAGGCTTCTTGGGTATTATCTCAGCTGCCATTGTTTTACATGCATTAACTTGCATTAACCTGCATGCAAGAGATGAGCATGAGCCTAAGGACTAAGCAAAAAAAGGAATACCTTTTTGCTTAGCAGTCATGCTACATAAGGTGAGCACTGGTAGTGTAACAATGGATGGATAAGCAGGGCATAAACCCCAGATGCTGTCTAAGGAGGAGAACTGCTGAACTGAAGCAAAGGACATGTCTCAACCCTTCCCCAATCCCCACCATGCTCTGCATCTTCCAAACAGTGTCTTCAGCTCTGGCAGCAAGGAGGACAGAGCCGTGGCAGCAATGCACAATGCCCTAGGCAGTGATGGTGTATGATATGGAAGCAGCAGCCAGAGGTATGATTTTGTAGGGGCAGATGTTGCTTCTTTTGCTGCCAAAAATCAATGTATATATGGGGCACTCAAAACATGCTGGCAGCAAAAAAAGGAGGTGACATCTCCCTCCAACAGACTTCTGGCCACTGCTCCTGTACCACACTCAGCCACCACCCAGGTTGCAGAACTGGCAGCTATGCCTCTGGTGAGAACACTGAGAAGTCTGCTGATTTAACTGGGCATAACAAAGCAGCAATACTAGCAATAGAAGGAGCTGAATACCTGGAAGGAAACAAGATTTGATTATAGGCCAAATGCATGTGCTGTTGTAACTTCTCTGACTTCAGCCAAGGTATGCTAAGCAAGAATTTGGCCCTTTTTGTGGATGCCTGTGAAGTGCACATCCAGTCATACCAGCAACATGTGTAAGGGGAAAAGAGAGGATAAAGAAAAGCTGGGTGTGAGCACTGCAAAGCCCAGCCTTGAATAACAAGGAACCAAACAGTGAAGGGAACTTTTATAGTGTAGAAACTAATTTGTAGCATTTTATTCACTTCAGGAGAGATGTGGATAGCATCAAGAGGGCCCAAAGGAGGGCCACTCGCATGATCAGGGGGCAGCAGGGCAGGCCCTACGAGGAGAGGCTACAGGACCTGAACCTGTTCAGCCTCCACAAGTAAGGCTGAGAGGGGATCTGGTGGCCATCTATAAACTGGCCGAGGGAGACCAACAGGCTATGGGAAAGTCCCTGTTCCCCCGAGCACTACTGGGAGTAACAAGGAACAACGGCCATAAGCTGACTGAGAGTAGATTCAGGCTAGATATCAGGAGGCACTACTTCACAATCAGGGCGGCTAGGATCTGGAACCAACTTCCAAGGGAAGTGATGCTCACCCCTACCCTGGGGGTCTTCAAAAGGAGGCTAGATAGACACCTTACTGGGGTTGTTTGACCCCAGCATCCTTTTCTGCCCATGGCAGGGGGTTGAACTTGATTGATCTGCTCAGGTCCCTTCCAACCCTACCAGTTATGAAACTACTGAGTTGGAGAAATTAAGGCCAGAGGAACTATTATGACTACCTGGTCTGGTCTACAGCTTAATGCAAGCCATGGAATCTCATGCAGTCTTAGGACTGGAAGAGACATAAGGAGGTCATCTAGTCCAACACTCAGCTTAAGGCAGGCTTATCCCTGTCTAATCTGAACTTTATGTTCATTGACAGAGTTTCTACAACCTTTCTGTGTCATCTGTTCCAGTGCTTTTCTACTCTTGTAGTTAGAAAGTTCTTCTGAGTAGCCAATGGTATAACTAGGGCAGGGCACATGGCCCAGGTGTCAACTTAGAGGGAATGCCAAAATGGCCCCCTCACCCCGAGAGCTTTTTCTGTGGCAGGTGCAGCCCCACATTGCCCAGCCATAGAAGTCGGGCAGCCATAGTGCATAGGCTGCAGCAGGGCTGGCTCATCACACACCAGCTGTACCAGCCCTGCAGCATGGGCTCCCTGGGGACTGTTCCTGGTGCCCTGTTCACTCCCCCGCTCAGATACTCTACTGGGCATGATAATGTCCCAGAGAGGGGCACCATTCAGCTCAAAGCTTCCCCAAATGCACGATGGGATGCAAAGCTACCTGGCTTCTATGGCTGGGTGGCATGAAGTTGCCACTAGCAAAGGCTCCTGAGGTGCACGGCCATTCTGGTATCCCTGTTGAGCCTGCTCCTCAGTTGCATTAGTGTGAGCGCATGTTACTACAGCCACAGTATTGTGTAGTAACAGCTAATGTAGAGCCCATCATAATGTAGGTAAAGTTTGGGGTATTTTTGCCCAGGTGCATCACTTTACACTTATCTACATTGAATTGCATCTGCCATTTAGTCATTAGTTACCTATTCACTCAATCATGCCAGATCCATCTGTAGTTCCTCACAGTCTGCCACTTGGAATAATTTTGCATCATCAGCAAATTTGGCCACCTCACTACTCACCCCTTTCTCCAGATCATATCCATAAGAATATGTTAAATAGCACTGGTCCTAACACAGTTCCCAGGGGCGCCCCATTCTTTACCACTTTCCACCCTGAAAACTAACCTCTTATACTCACTCATTGCTTTCTGTCTTTGAGCCAATTTCTAATCCACAAGTGCAGGTTCCCTGTAATTCCAGGACTACTGAACTGGCCTGAAATTACCTTAGCCTTTTCAGTGAGGGCTCCAAGATGCATCTCATGTAGCCCTGAGCTGAAAACATCCAAGTTGTGTAAGCAATCTCTAACCTGTTTTTCCCTACTCTAAGCTGATTATAGCTCCTCTCCTTGGTACTTATAATACTTGGTATCTGATGCTTGACCTTTTTGTGAAGGCTGAAGTTAAAAAAAAAAAAAAAAAAAAAAATTGAACACTTCAGCCTTTCCCTTAATTTCTGTTGTTGCATTGCATTCCCCATTCAGTAAAGGACCTGCACATTCCTTGACCTTCCACTTACTAGTTTTGGGCATTTTTACACATGCCCAAAACATGTGGTGGTGGGGGGGGGGGAAGCTTTAATTAGAGCGACTCTAAGAGCTGCTCCAATTAAAGTGCCTGCAGCATTTCTTGTATTGGAGTCTCCACACTTCAAAATGGTGGCAGGGGTGCTTTAACTAAAGTTTGTTGAACGAGCTTTAGCTAAAGCGCCCCCATTGCCATTCTGAAACATGGGGACGTTGATATACAAGATGTGGAGGCTGCTGAAGGTGTGCTAATTAGCACACTCCAGCAGACTTGACTAATCGAGTCTCCTCCAACGTGCTGTAATTATGCTTACATAATTACAGTGCAATGGAGCAGCCTCCCCGCAAGTCCACAGGCACCCTTTATGTTCCTTCCTAGGTGCAACTCAGTTTGTATTTTGCTTTTCTTGATTTTTCTCCCTACAACCTTGTACTATAGTCTTAAACTCATTGTTACTAATACGGCCACACTTCCACTTTTTGTGAGGTGCCTGTTTAAAATGCAAGTCATTGAAGACTTCATTCAGTAATTTGAGCTAAAGCGTATCTTCTACTTCAATCCAGTCTTATTTAAAGAATTCAAGTGATGGTGAATGTACCACATCCCTAGGTGAGTTATTTCATTGGTTAAGTACCCTAACCATTAAAACATTTGCAGCTTATTTCTAGTTTGAAGGTTAACATTTAAAGATGGAGGGGGACTTTCAAATGTATTCATTGCAAGTCTAAATCTATTCCCAGTAAATAAAGGATGAAGTCCCATTGATTTCAAGGGAAGTAGAATTAGGCCATCACTCTTGTGAATATTCTACCTAAAATGCTTTTTTTTGCACATCCAAATTCATTGTCTAATGAAATAAGGCTTGAAGTTGGGTTATCATGCCTTTCAGTTGGTCTTTAAGTCTTCAACACTACTGATGTTATAAAAGGAGCAGGGCCTGGCACAGAAATCCTATTTTCAATAAAACAGTTCTTAAAAATGTTTCTGTTGGTTGATGCTGAGAAGTTCTTCTCACTATGGGTTTTTTTGGACAATTTGGCTGTACAAAATGGGTGTAGGCTAAACTCTGCGTTCCAGAAGTGACAGAGGATTTTGCTTACATTAGCTGTAAATACAATGATAAAACATTAAATTAGAGGTGCCAAATTCATCTGGCCCTGTGGGCTGGATGAGTGACTCAGGACTGGTCCACAGGCTGAATCAGGTCCACAGACCCCCCGACCCCATCAGCCTACATGCCTGATCCAGCACACATGGCACCTGCCTTGGCCAGTCCAGGACAATGGCCCAAGCAAGTACCACAGCTTGGGACCTGGCTAGTGCTGCATGTGGGTCAACAAGGCAGCACCAGGGGCCAGATCTGTCCCACAGGCCATATGTTAAATTAATATGAGGGCAATATAAGAAGGATTTGGAGACTTGCTAATTGTATTATTTTTATTTGTTCCATTGCAGGGAGGACAGGCTAAGATATCTTTGCTTGTGTTCATTATGAGCTGATGGAAAACAGGTATAGTGTTATAACAATAAAAATGAAAACAATATAATGGAAGAAAATGGGGTAAAATACAACATGGGTTTTTGAAAGATTGATTGTGTCAAACTAAACTGATATCTATCATAAGATAACTGATTTTTCTAGATGAGGGAAATTTTTTAGATCTGTCTGGACTTCAGGAAAGCTTCTGGGATATTGCCACATAGGAAAATTTCTTAAACTGGAGAAAATGGGAACTGGTATAAAAACTATTAAATAGATAAAGAACTGGAGGAAGGGGTGATGACAGATGGAGTTCATCAAGAAACAGTCTTTGAACAGTATTTTCATTTATTACATTGGCACAAAAAGTAGGAGTCTGCTAATAAAATCTGCTCTTGACATAAAGTTGGGAGAGCTTGTCAATATGGTGGAGGAACAAAATATTTTACAGGAAGAATTGAATGAGCTTGAAAACTGAAATAAGAAATGGAATGGAATGTCATAGTTCAAAGTGCAAAGTAATGCATTTAGAGACTAAGACAATTTTCTGCTAAGAGATCATCAGTTAGAAACAACACTGGAAACCTGGGGCTAGTGGCAAGTAACAGAATGATGGTGAGCCACCAACATGTGATTAAGCAACCAAACCAAACCAATCCCAAAATATATCAGGACAGGTGTTTCTAGTACAGGAATGGAAATATTAGTATCATTATAGAAGGCAATGATACTTTAGTCTCATTTGGAAATTGTGTATAATTCTGCTCGTATGTGGTAAAGAAAGACAAAATCAAACCAAACTGTTAAAAGAAGCATGAGTACAATGATCATGGGGATGAAGGCCCTCCCTTTACAACCTTGGCTTATTTTAGCCTTGTAACATGTAGGGCAGGGATTTTCAACCTTTTTTAACAGGTGTACCTCTTCTGGGGGCGGCAGCCAGACACTGAGTGTGGGGGGTGGTGCTTGCAAGCAGAGGCTGGACACGGAGCTGGGGGGGGCTGTGCTCACATGTGGTGGCCGGACATGAAGCCGGGGTGGGGGTGACTTGCATGTGGTAGCCACTGCCGCCACCCACCATCCTGTGCTGGCACTGCTGGTCAGCTGCTCATGGAGTCGCATGTGCAACTGGCCATGGGAAAGCAGTGGGGGTGGTGGTGACCCCACCCAGCTCTGCTCGCCCTCTCCAACCCTTCACCCCCCCTCCCCCCCGGGCCTTACTCCTGAGAGTGGGCATAGAAACACACACCCCCTGCCACTGAGACCCTCTCGGCAGCCCGGGAGCCAATCAGGAGAGCGAGCTGGGTTGGGGGGCAGGGAGGCACTGCAGTGTGCCATGTGGGGCCAGCACCACTAAATGCACCCCTCCTCCAGGTAAGAGGTGAACGCACTGGGGGAGACGTTGCTGCTGTGCTCCAGGGCACACTTCATCCCTGCCTGCCCCCCGCCTACCTCCAAAGACCTTTCTAATTACTCCTGGGGGTATGTGTACCCCTGGTTGACAACCCCTGACATAGGGCATATGATGATTCCCTATGAATACAACAGGGATGGAGAAGAGCCAGTATTCTCATCTAGCTTAAATAAAAACAACGAATGGTATATACTGGTCATGAATAAACTCAAGCTGGAAATTGGAAGGTGTCTAGTGAGGACCGAGGTTCTGGAACAGCTTTCCAATAGGAATACTGGAGACAAGTGCCTCAATAGTTCATAGGTAAAGTTTATTAAATAGTTGGATGGTGTGAATGCAGGTGATAGTAAGAGACTGGATGTGGTAACTCAGGAGATTCCAGCTATTTTTGGGTTCCTAACAAGTGACAATACATATTAATGAAGCCCTTCTGGTACTGCTTTTGAGAACATGAAAAGGAGATAAAAAGACCATGATTATAATAGGCTGCATTTAACAATAATATGTTATGTCTATTGGTGCAGCATATCAGCCAGTCATGGTCTACCTATGCCTAGAAGGCTCATTACGCTGGCACAATTAAGACAAACAAGAAATTTATGTGGCTAGCATTTACATCTGGCCACTTGCTCCCCAAGCCACTGCAAATAACTTTACTTATACCTCAGTCAAATGAGGGTACCCTTTGACAAATACAGCACAATACTTGAATTCACTCCTCTGGCACTATAGCAAGATACTTGAACTAGTTGCCACTCTACCATTCTGTCACACTACATGTAAGGCCAAATCTCCATTGTTAGGAATTGGAACGGCTACACTTACTTAAATGGAACCCTGATAATTTAGGCCAGCAGAAAATTTGACCTAAAATTTCAAAATAAAACCTGTTAAAGGACCCAAATCATAATTTTCTCCTGAATGATTGATTTGTCCAAGAAAAAGCAACATCTCTATGTATTGTTTATTTCAGATAAGATGAAATTCCTATTCCTAATATCTCCCAGAATAAAAACTACTTCTCACCAAGGTCTAACTTGATCAATAATCTCTACCAAGCTTTAGTTTTGATATTCATTAATGAACTTACCTTTTTTCATTGTGAAGATCTTTGATGGATTCATGAGTTTTTAGTAGTTCTGCCTCAATAGAAGCTATTGCCTATTAAAGAAAGAGAAAAAAATATTTGCCTTAAATGTTACTGAGGTGTTACTTGTAATCATTTTATGTGCAAATATTGCTATAAGAAGTTATAAAATATGTAGAGTTTGCCTGTATTAAAATTTTACCTTAGGTTAATTGATAGCCATTAACTCAGGGTATTAAGATAGCTAAAAATATGGAATATCTACCCTGTGGGAAACTCCAAGCATTTCTTTCTGATTCAGATTGAAAAATAATTTAAAACCTCAAACCTTGGACTTGGTCATGAAAGGGAACACTCCAATGTGGGAGCATATCTGTACTGCTGCTTCTGGCGCTGCTCAGAGGTTTGGGGTGGAGGACTTCCAGGGTAAGCACAGAAAGGGGCACAGTGGTAAGGGAAGTTATTAAGCTGCTATTGAGGAGTCTCTAGGCTGACTGTGGGAGAGTAGGCCAGGAAACTGGTTATCTAGGCAGCCAGGGTTCAAATTATGGGAGAGTTTGGGGGGGAGCTGAGCGCCCCCCATAGGAGACAAGAACCTCCCCATGGGTCGGTAAGCCCTTGGGCCATGCCGTGCCTTTCTAAGCAGCCCATGCGGCGGTGGCTCTTTCCGGCTGCCACCGCCACAGACCCCCAAACAGAGTCAAAGTGTAATTCAAACCCTATAGGCAGCTTGTCAGGCTGGTTCCTAGGAGCCAGGGAATGCTCTGGCTTGCAAGCTCACCATCAAGTGGGCTGCCCAAAAGCCAAGAGCCCTGGTTGTTATGGACACACAAGCTTAGGAACTAGGGCTTCCAGGCTCATGCGTGCCTTGTTACCTTGTCAGACAAGACCACAGCATCTGGCTGAGAGCACGTCTGGTGCATTTTCAACCTACTTGCTTAATCAGCTGTACTCTGGGGGCTTTCAGTTTCTCTCTTTTCAAGCCACCTTAGAAGAGCTTGTCGTATGACAGTTCAGAACAGGAAAGGAGGATACAATTCCTCAGAAAGAGCCCCCAGGAGAAAATGAACAAGTCAACAAACAGTCTGATAGGGCCCAAGATTAACAATAAAAAAGGGGAAAAAAAAGAAAAGGAGCCCAAAGGCCCCAGGTCTGCTTTAACTCACCTGAAATCAGCAAGTGCCAGCAGCTGAAAAGAAGTGCTCTTGACTTGAACAATATCTGCAGATGTCACAGCTGTTACTACTGATATGTGCTTGCTAACACTGTTTCAGATTAGTCACGAACATGTAATTCTTGAAGAGGGGTCTTTTAAGGGCCAGCAGGGGAGTGCTGGCAAAACAGAGCCCGGACATATGGGAGCTGATTTTCAGTTGCTCCTTTCTTGGTAATGTGGTAGTGTGGTGTGCTCATTGATACTACCCTTCCCCTTTCTGGCATGCTCTTAACATGATCCCTTTAGCAGAGGCCAGGAGCAGGTTTGGTATAGAGCAGTGATTCTCAACCAGGTGCTGCAGCAACCTGGGCTGTCTTGAGATCTTTTCAGTGAGGCCATGGAAGGCCACACAATGTTAGCACTGTTGCAATATGATTCATGATTGGGGAGCATATTCAGGCTGTGCGAAGTTTTGGTCCTGATTCGATTCGATGGAGATTCAGCTTGATTCGGGGGCTGAATCTCTAAATCCAAATCAAATCAGGGGGCCCTTTAATCTCTCTGAATTGAATCCGAACCCTCTGAAACGATTTGGAGAGATTCAGAAAGAGTCAGTGATTCAGACATAGACACAGCTTTAAATGTTTTTTCTACATTCCTCTAGGTAGCAGGCAGCTTGTGAATGCTGCGATGCTGGGGCTCATGGAGTGTTCCACAGGAGCATGGGGGGTCCCCAGTGCACTCCCCGGCAGACCCAGAAGTGGACCGGAACTACTTCCAGTCCACTTCCGGATTCACTGCCAAGCATGTGTGGCCCCCCGCCCCCTGCACTCCTGTGGGATGCCTCCATCCGCCCCAGCATTGCAGCGTTTATGAGTCACACTAGTACCTCAAGGTAGGTAGAAAAAACACTTAAAGCTGTGTCTATGTCCAGATTGCTGATTCTCTGAATCAGCATCGAATCTTTAGATTTGGATTAGGCCAAATCGAATCAGGGACAGTGATCCGAACCAACAAATTGAATCGCTGTCCCCAATTCGGACCGAATCTGAATTGAATAGGACCCACTTCACACACCCCTAGACCATATCGGTGCTGTCTCTCTTAGCATTGCTAGGAAGTCTGGGGTGGAAGATCCTCAAACTAAGGGAAGAAGTAAACCTTTCCCTGGGTTCTTCTGAGGTTGCTTCAAGAGAAACAAGCCACAGGTTCCCAGAGTTCAGTTGGTCTAGCAAGTAGGTTGAAAATGCACCAGGCATGCTCTAAATCAAGATGCTGTGGAATTCCTGAGGGTCAGTTTCCAGGAACAGTGCTAAAGGGTGATCCTGCCTGATGGGATGACAAGAAACCCATAAGTAGGGCCTGGTTTAAATTGCAATTATGCATTTTTTTGTGAAAATCACTTAATTTTGTGGATTTTCACAAAAAATGCAATTTGCAGTGAAATGCCACCATATGGCATTTGGTGGCAACAAGATAGCTGCTGCAGGCTAGGAAAAGCATTCCCCAGCCAGCAGCAAAAGCCTAGGAGCTCAGGGGAGGGGGACAATGGGTTGCAAAAGGGGGAGGCAGAAAGGGAGGAGAAAGCTTGCAGATGGGTAGCAAAAGGGCTGTTTACTAGGGCTGTGCAAAATGGCACTGTTCTGTTTTGACTTGCGTTTAGATGTTTTGACAGAACAGCAATTCATTTCACATTTCATTTTGATTCAAAACCGCTGTTCCATTTTGTTTTGTTGATACAGTTTCGCTGTTTCAACACTATTTCGTCGTTTTGCCCGTAGGCTATAATGGGGAAGCTTGAAACAGACTATAATTTTGTCATTTCTGGCCTGACTTGGATGAAACTTGCAGAAATGATAGCCCCTTGTGAGAGCAATAAGCCTGTCAAGCTTCAAGGAGATAGGTGCAGGGGTTTCAGAGAAACTGCACCTCAAGTTGTGGACAAGCAAAACTTGTGACATGGGTGACACTGTGTGTGTTAAGGTGCAGCAGGGTAAAAACTGCAGCGATTGTAGCCTCTGCTGAGGCCATGAAGCCTGCTAACTTTCAAGGAGATAGGTACAGGGGGAGTCTGGGTTCAGAGGCCCTGCACCTCTAGCTGCTGACAGGCAAAACTCATGACATGGGTGGGTGACACTGTGTGTGCGTGTGTGTGTGTGTGTGTGTGTTAAGGTGCGCCCCCACCCAACTGACACCAAGGCAGAAAGCAGGGCAGTTCAAACAATGCTGCCATTTATGTAGTTTTTCCATCCCTCCCCCAGAGCACTGGGGTTGGAAGGGACCTCAGGAAAGGATGACTGTCACTGGCCAGCTACACAGTCAATAATGAGAGCATTTCTTTCCACCCCCCCCTTCCCCCTCCCTCTCCTTACTTTAATTTCTGTTTCCGTGCAGGCAAGCCCAGCTTGAGCCTCAAAACTCAAAGCATTTTGAAAATTTGAAAACGTTTCGACTTGCCTCGTTTCATTTCAAGGCTATTTCGAAGCTTTCTGTTTGTTTTGATTTTGCTGTTTTGAGCTCGAAACGAGTCAAAACAGCATCAAAACAAAACTGCTGGCAAAATTTCTCACAGCCCTACTGTTTACTCCTTTAGAGGGGAAAACTAGGGTCTTGGGGGTTAGGGGCTGGGGGAGTGAACACGTGTGCGTAGGAGAAAATAGTCCCTCCCTTACCCATCCCCAAGCTCTCTCTTCCCCCTGTCCCTTTTGCAACCCATTTCTCCCCCACCCTCCCCTGGGCTGCTAGGCTTTTGCTGCTGGCTTTCCTCAGCCTGCAGCATTTTGTTGCCTTAAACCTGCCCCCTTAGCTAATCTGAGGCTGGGGGGGGGGAGGGGGGCAATGGGGGTGCTCCTTGATCTGGGCATGAAAATGGTGGCCTGTACCATGATTGGGCCATGATATTGGTGAGCTGGGCCTGCAATTTAAACCAGGCCCTATCCTTAAGCCTGGAAGCAACATACAAACATGATTCATAAAATAAACCCAGAGATTTCAAATAGGAATCCATAGTCTCAAAAACTCTCCAACCTGTTGAGGTCTTTCTGGGTTCTTTGCAACAGAAGAATCATTCTATCATTTTTCTGTAGTTAAAAAATGAGTGAAAATGAAGAGCTGATGTTTTCTGAGTGGTGCTTTGAGCCTAGCGAGGAGTGTTTTGACTCTAAAAAGGCTGAGAACCACTGGTATAGAGCCTTAATACCTATTCTAGATTGGATGGAGAAGAGGAAGGCCATCTTTTTTCTCTGTCACAGTGGCATAAAACATAGTCAGTGTAACTGAGAATTGGGTCCATGATGTTATTCCTTGACATGTTACTTGCAATAGAAAGAGGTGAGGTATTTTGATACTATCAGGAAAGGAGCTAGGACTCCAATCACAGATAGGGTATCAAATATGCTAAAATAATAAAATAAGGATAAAAATGAGCAGAGGTTTGAATTTGGTCCTTAAGGTGACAGATTAAAAATGCAGTCTGACAGCTGAGCAAGGTTGGTGTGGCTCTCCTCCCTAACTGTGTTACTCATGTTGATTCTTATTTGACTCACCTGTGCTTGCATCTTGTCTTGCTCTGTTGCCCTATTGTCATTCTCTGTCCGCTGTACCACAGATCCCCTTTGAGACATTTGCTTAGGTGAACCTGGGCCAGGTCCATGCACAGAAGAGGCTGGATTACAATAGGCAGGTGGTGGTGAAGTACTTGGTTCTGTAGATGGACTGCACATCAGTAAAGAAAGCAAAAATACAGAAAGGATGAGATGAAACACCTAAGAGGTAAACTTCAAGTTTTCCCCTCCTGGGACCTAAAAACATCAGAAATAAAACCAACAAGTTGTTAATAAATTAATGACCAAGTGATGTGCCTGAATAAAAATGACAGTTTAGCTGCAAGTACTGGTAGTTGTCACCACATTTGTATCACAGAATGGATCCTTTGCAGCAGATTCCATTTTGTTAATTAAATGGAGGCTGTGAAGTGTCCAGAACAAGATTTTATTTATCTCTGATTCATCACCAAAATACCTCTTTCTTTTTTAATTTCCCTTGGTTTCTTACCCATTAGCAGTGAAGTTGCAACTGAATTAGCCAATCTAACTAAGAAAAGTCTTTCCAGATCAGAAATCCTGCTGCCCTTTCTGAAGAAGGCAGAGCAAAAATGGGATCTTCTCAATGATACCTGGATTTGGCAACCCAACATTATCTTTTCTCACTGATCACCCCTGCCTGCCCAAGTGTGATGGAAACAAAAACCTGCCAAGTTATTGAATGGCATTCTTGACTCAGAGGAAGATTAAGTGAAGGTCCTGTAAAGAAGGAATCTTTGTTTTCTTTTTGTTGTTGTCGCTAAATAAAAGACTTGCTGTGTATTTTATATTTAGTCATCTTTCACTCTAAGGTGCAAATATTTAATTGATAACCAATAACTTATTACCACTGTACATAGTCCATCAGATTCCTTATACTGTAGCTGTGGTACTGATTAGTCTTCCTATATTTAAAATGTCAGTTTGTAATAGCAATAATGCTCCCTAGTGGTACAGGAGAATAAAGTTTAGTAAATATATTTTCTGCTGTGTTCCCATTAGAATGACATTCAACCCTACCTATAAGGTGAATGTTTCACTTAAGCCCTATTTGAAGGATAAAAGAATGGGATGGAAAGAAGTGCACTGGCGAAGTAATAATCTGTAATAATGCTGACTGTCTGTCTTGCGTAATCATTTTCTTCAGTTTACTGATTTAAATTTCAGCCAAAGGCAAAGTGCAGGAAAGCTTCAAATGAAGAACAAATAACTCATTACAAACTTATGTGATAGGAATATGCTATTGCAGTGAACCTTCAGTGAGCTCTTTCTCGTGTGAATGACTTCAGGGGTCATAGATTATCCAGTAGTGGAGAGAACAGAGATATAGGTCAGTTACCTAGGACTAAAGGGATCTAACTTGCTGTTAAGGATCTCCAAGAGCTGGTGGACTACAACACTGTGATCTACTTCACAAAGCAGGGAACAAGAGAACTGACCCAACCAACACTGCACGTTTTTACAATTTACATGCATTATGGTAGGGCCTAGCGGACACGCCTGAAACCAAGGCCCCCATTATGTCCATTGAAAATCTGGTCCTTGACCAAAGAGTTTACATTTGAAATTGGGAAGGTAGACAAAGTATTGTTATGCCCAATTTACAGATGGGAAACTGAGGTTCAGAAAATTTAAGTGATTTGTCTGATATCTGACAGCAGATCAATGGCAGAGTTGGGCACTGATCCTGGTCCAGTGCCTTAAACCAGGAAACCGTCCTGGAAGCAAACAGAAAATGGGACAAAACACAACATGGTTTTATCCAGTGAAGTTCATATCAAACAAATCTAGTATCCTTCTATGACAGGAAAACTAACTTTTTAGACAAAGGAAGGACAGTAGACCTAGTCTGTCTAGACTTAAAGCTTTTGACATAACGCTTCCTAGGAAATTTTTAGTTAAATTGGCAAGAATGGGGATCAATGCTGTAATCATAAAGTGGATAAGCAGCTGGCTGAATGGGAGACTGAAATGGGCTGTGTTGAAAAGAGAGTGATTACTAGTGACATTCTTGTAAATGGTTTTGGAACACATTTTGCTTAACATTTTCATGAGGGGTCTTGGTGCAGGAATTACATGAGAGCCCATGAAATCTACAGATGACATAAAATGGGAGAGAGGAAGTTGCCAGTGTTGAAGAGGACAGGATTATAATATAGGAAGATTTAGATAAACAACACCATTTCTATGACTGCACTCTGAAAAATACAGTATGAAGTGCAAAACTGAGCACTTGGGGCCTAACGGCAAGAACTTTTGTTATAAGATGGGGGTTCATTGGCTGGAGGCAACAGAACAAGTGAGTATGGGTGTATTGGTCAGTCACAATCATTAACTGTAAATTGCCAGCACGTGGCTATGAAAAAGGCTAATGAAATTCTAATGTGGATTAGTTGGGTATATTAAGTAGAAACAAGGAAATTGTTGTACAACACTTTGGTGAGACCTCTTGTACTACTGTCTACAGATCTGGTTAGTAATACTCAGAAACAATTAATTTTGAACTGAAACAGCCCCAAAGAAGGGCCACTAAAATTAAAGTGAATGAGGAACCTATCTTTTTAAGAGGAGATTAAAAGAACTTGACTTCATTAGTTTAGCAAAATGAAGGTAGAAACAGGACATGATTACAAAAGTGTGTGTGCACGCGCACACGTGTGTGTACACACATAAGGAAAATCAGGGAAACACCATATTTAATTTTAAGGTAAAGAACAATATTGGCACAGAATCAAATGCCTACAAACTCATTATGAACAAATTTAGATGGAAAATGAGGAGCGACTTTTTAGAATAGTTTTCCAAGCAAAGTAGAATGGATTAAGAACTTGAATTGCTTCAAGATGGAGCTTCATAAGTTTATGGAAGGGAGAGTATAATAAGACAGGGAGCTGTATAGATTTGAAGATGTGATATGTAGATTCTAATATTTGCAATCCCCCAACAAAAAGTCCTTTTTTAAATACATAGGGAGAATGAAGAAGGCCCCAGTCAGTAGGGCTAACTGTACCTTGTCCTTCATCCATAGATACATCACAAGCAGGTCCAAGGAGGTGATCCTCCTCCTCTATGTGACACTGGTCAGGCCGCAGTTGGAGTACTGCGTCCAGTTCTGGGTGCCGCACTTCAGGAGGGATGTGGACAGCATCGAGAGGGTCCAGAGGAAGGCCATCTGCATGATCCGGGGGCAGCAGGGCAGACCCTACAAGGAGAGGCTATGGGACCTGAACCTGTTCACCCTTCACAAGAGAAGGCTGAGAGGGGACCTGGTGGCCATCTATAAACTTACTAGGGGGGACCAACAGGGTTTGGGAGAGACCTTGTTCCCCTGAGCGCCTCGGGGAGAAACAAGGAATACCAGCCATAAGTTGTTAGAGCATAGGTTTAGACTAGACATTAGAAGGCACTACTTCACAGTCAGGGTGGCCAGGATCTGGAACCAACTTCCAAGGGAAGTGGTGATGGCTCCTACCCTGGGGGGTCTTCAAAAGGAGGCTCGACGTTTACCTAGCTGGGGTCATTTGAGCCCAGTTTCCCTCCTGCCCAGGCAGGGGGTCGGACTAGAAGATCTACAAGGTCCCTTCCGACCCTACTTCTATGAACCTATTAGATTTGAGAGGTGTAACTTTCTTTGTATGGGAGATGTCTGTCAATCAGGGCTTCTGCTGATTGTCTGTAGTGGCTGAGAAGGAAATTTTTCCTCCCCCAGCATGAATGCTTTATTGATTTCTGGCAGACAAGGTTCCTTGGGTGAATTTGATATCTTTTATTAGACCAACCCAAATGGTTGGAGAATAGTTATTAAGCAAGCTTTCGGGTTCAAAACCCCTTCATCAGGCTCAGGAAGCTGCAGCAGTTGGTGTGTGCTCTTCCTGGATGGAATGAAAAGTAAAGAAGCCAGGGGCTGGGCTGGGCGGGGGAGTCAGTTGCCAGGCAGATTATAATGTATCAAAAATCCAATGTCTATGTTTAGTTCCTGATCTCTAGTATCCAGCAGGTTGATGAAATGGAGCTCATAGGCTCGTCTCTGGGATGTGTTGTGTAAATTTCCCTTGAAGATCAGGACTGAGAGATTGGAGAGAGAGTGGCCCTCCTGTGAGAAATGTGCCCCCACCGGTAGTTGGGTGTTTCTATCTTTGATGGATTTCCGGTGTGCATTCATTCTGGTGCGCAGTTGTTGTCTGGTCTCTCCTACATATCTTCCATCAGGGCATTTGGTGCATTGGATGAGGTATACTACATTCCTGGAGGTGCAGCTGTAAGATCCTGGGATGCTGATGGCTCTGTTGTGGGGTGTAGTTATTGATTTCTGAGCTTTTGGGCTTTTTTTTGAAGCACTGGAAAATGGCTGTGTGTCAGGGTGGGAATTATGACTGATGAGTGCTGGTGCTTCTGCTTGTACTTGGGAACCTCTCTGGTACCTGACTAGAGGATCTTGCTCTTCTGCTCATGTCCATTTGATTGCCAGGTTTGGGGTCTGAAAGGATGTTTTCATTCAGGTCAGATTGGCAGTGCTGTGGGTTTGTTTGTTTTTATTTTTTTGCATTTATCGTTAGCCTGAGGCATGGCCATTTTCCTAAGATCCTCTGAGCACACATTAGTTGAAATACTTGGACACTCAATGGCAGAAATGTATTGCCAGTGTCCTTGTTTCCCTGGCTTTTGACCTGTAGCAAATTGTAGGGTGTTTTAGAGTTTGTTTTTATAATGTAGTTAAAAGAGACTGAAGTGAATGATTTTTAAGACTCTGGGTAAATGGTTGCCTGTGAATCCAGGGAACTGGTCTTCATGGCTTGAGAGGCCTCTATTCAGCACATGTTTCATCCTGTCCTCTCTGCTCGTCATAATTCTGCAAGTTCTTCAATAGCTATTATTCAGGACCAAAGCAGGATAGAAATTATTCTTCTTTGCCTTTGCAGCAGGGCATCAGAGTTATAAAAAATAATTATTCAGCTCCTAGTTTCTCAAACTAGGGATCCTGAGGTAGAGATCATGAACAAGAGGCATTATGATCACCCTCCCATGCCTTATGGCAGCAAGAATCTCCCAGGGTTTTTATATTGTAGCTTGGTCATGGCCTGGAAAAGGCTGTCAGCCAGTGCCCCACATAGACTATATTGGCCTTTTCAATGGGGCAGTGCCTTGATAAATTGCACAAAGACCTATTTCAACTGACTTATTTTTAAAAAGAACATGAATCTATGATAAATGGGTGGTAGCTGCTTTTGGCTGTGTGGTTACAACACTTCTGTTTTATTTAATCTTATTTATTTCATGTTCTATAGATGAATCACTGACCACATTTCACTTACAAAACACCAAAGTTATTTTCTTAATGGGCTCAGCCAAGTAACTTATGTCCAAAATGACTTCTGCTTTAGAACTGTTAGAAGCGAGTAACGTATCTTGTCTTTTCAAAACCACACTCACAGGACTGGCTCAGGTGCTAGGAGATCCCCTGCCTGCAGCATTTCCAAGGCTTTTCTTCTCTGGGCCTCCTTTCTTCTGCAGCGCTCTTGAAACAGATTGTTTCTGACAGTGCGGAGAAAGAGCTTTGCGTTCTCCTTTGCTGACATCTGCTGGAATGACAAATGACAGAGAAGGGAGTGGATTTTAAAATAAGCATTGCCCAGAAGCAGCAGGCAGTCTGTCAATATAGGCCCAGACAAAGCTGAATCCTTTCCTTTCCCACCTACAAGAAAGCAGGAGCCCACATGGTTGACAGTTTAAGATCTGGCTGCCCGGGCTCATTGAGGGAAATTGAGATAAGGGAGAGTCTTGTAGGTAGGACACTCATTCTGAACTTAAGGAGATCCAAGTTCAGATGCCCTCTGGGACCTTGGGCAATTTGCTTGCTGTTTCTGTGCCTCATTTCTTCATAACAGTTATGAAGTGCTCAGATACAACAGTGGACAGGTAAGATGAAACATTAAGAAAAACAGAAACAGAAACCCTTGAGTTTCAATCCCATCCTGACAGTTTTTGTTGCTACAGTTTGTGGCAAATTCCCATATTTGGGGCCTGGCTCCCTCTATAGTGGGCACGTCTACACGTGACACTATGTCACCGTAGCAGTGCACTATGGTGACATAGCAGCTGCGGGCAAAACCGTGATGCTGCAGCTAAGCTATGTCGCAGTAGCGGCGTACTTTCTCAGTATAGCATGTCGCTACAGCAACATGGCAGCTAAAATAATCATGCACAGCGCACACAGTGCAATACCACCTGTTACTGAACTGTGCCAGTGATGGCACAGCAACAGTGGTGCCATAGGGGCATGTGTAGACGAGCTCAGTGAGTATTAACAGAGCTCTCAGATTTATTAAATAGTTGAGTATATTCCATAAAACCCTCAAAATATCATCCAAATTGCAAACTGGGACAGATTCACTGAAGTGTATCACTTTATATCAGCAAGTAATTAACTATCTTTTTAGTTAGAAAATATATATATATATTTGTTATTTGCACCAGAGGATGCATGATGAAAATAATTACAGCTCTTTGTGGATACTAATATTAGTCGCTCTTCCCCAGCTTGCTGGGAACTTAGTAGAGAAGAAGACAAACCCTTGTCTTTAGCTACATAATACAACTATGTTAGAGATAATCCATGATCTTTCCCAAGGTTGTTTAAATAATGTATCTGAAGACTAGTAAAGGGCCTAGTTCTTCATTTTCCTACACGTTGTGTTATAGCTAGGCAAAGCAGATGTAAAATGCTGACCTTCTGATAGTGGTGTCATTTTTTATCTTATTATGCAGGACAATTAATCATTTTAAGAGAACAAACAGGAAAACACAGTGCGAACATATCATGTACATTATACTAATGTCCTGTGATGGTAATAAAATTACCACAAGATGTCAGTATGGTAAAGAAAAGAAGTACTGAAGTGAAATATTTTCTCTCTGCCTACTGCTCTAAGCCTTTTTAAAAGAAACTTAGTGTTAGCCATACAGTACTATGCTGTGTGCAGAAGCCAGTTGTTTTGCTGTTGCTTGGGTTGTTAAGGACTCCTTGGACATGGGACTTGTGCTCAGTCTCATTTAGGAGTTGGGGGAAGTCAATGGTGGCCTTAGGGTTGTTGAGGCCCTGGGCAAGAGAGTCATTTGGGGCCCCTTAGAGACTTAATTTTGATGACCTATAAGCAAGTCAAACATTTTCCATTTCAGTTTCACTTTGCCCTATCCATGAAACTGCAATGAAAATATCTTAATACAATATTGATACAAATATTCAGTGTAATTAATTTTTATTTTTATAAAGTGTGAGGCCCCAGGCAGTCACCCAGTTTGCCCTCCTCCAAGGCCACTACTGGGGAAGTAAAGTGGATTTCTAAACTGCTTTCAGCACAGCTCATTTTCAAATGCTGACAGGACTGAAGGCCCTGATTCTTCTAGCACATCCCTCTGGACAAAGTCATGGTGTCCAGAGACTCTTTGACTTCAAGAGGGCTTTGTACAAATGTAGGGGTTTATTTGTGTGGATCTTCTTGAAGCAGACCTGAACATTTCTTGCTTGCAGAGGTGCTTCTTTCCCTGTTCCCCCAGCCGGATCACGGTATGTGTTACCTTTGCTTCTTATATGGCTTCTTAAGTCTTTTAGAACAATAAGCGTTTTGCAGCAGACTTTTATAAACTATTGTGCAGTGCCCAAATGAAACCTCTCAGTGCTACCACGACATCTATATATTATATTTAATATATTCCTCGGATGGACATGATGACTTTCCACTGTATAGAAGAGGCTGAAGTTGGGGTGGGGGCAGGAGTGGGACTGAATCTCCTTGTTGTCTGTGGCTTCAGACTGCCATCAGCCAAGCTTGAGTAGAGCCAGGGGGAGAAAGGTAGTCTCCTGTAAGATACAGGTATCAAAGCCTCCAATAGAGGGTGACGGTTAACCTATAAAACAGAGGAAGCTTCACAAGGAGTTAATGCAGCTTCAGGCAGCATTAACACCTCACTGGACATGTGGTGGGACTGGGAGGGATGGGCAGTGAGGAACATGTTCCTGACACCAGACTCCTTCCCCACCCGCTATTCATGAACAAAACACCAAAGCAATGGAAGGTGCTTTCCCCACGTCCAAGAATGGGCTGGAGGCTGCTTTGGAGCACTGCCCTCTTGTATCACCTGTGTGGGCCGGCTCCCGATCCCATCCTCGCCACGTGCGAGCCAGGCCCGTCTTTGCGCACGCGGGCTGTGGCCAGCAGCCCGGGCACGCGGGGTCAGAGGAGACCGCAGGGCGGTAAGGTACGCGCAAGCTAGAATCAGTTACGGAGGCGTAATGGTTGATTGAAAAGATTATTTACTTACACCCAAGGTGGTCGCGGTGTAGGTTGGACAGCTTTCCAGGCGCAGCTCTGCTTGAATCCTCATTGGAGGACTCTGACAAACTCGGTTCTTTGACCCCGGAGTGGTTTAGGCTCCGCGGGTTCGGCAATTCTTTCCTCACGGAGTGGCTGAATCTCCGTGGGTTCTGTTCGGTTCCCAGGTCCCCCGGAGCTGTTAAGACTCCGTGGGTTCGAAAATTGGGTATATAGGATAGGGATACGTCTAGGATTGCGCTCGGTGACGGGGAGAGGCTAGAAGCTAAACGGACCTCCGTTGCCTGCTTAAGAAAGGTGCGTTGGGTCCGCAAGGGTCCACATCGCTTGGAGATCTTCACACAGCGCGAAGTCTCCTCCTTCTGGCGAGTTCTGCATCTCTCCAGGTTTCCTCTCTCTGCGACTTGGGCGGAAACTACCCAAGCCTTTTGTACGACTAGCAAGCCAATAGCTAGCCGCCACGTATGCCTACATTTAGAACCGGCCAATAATGTGGCACAAATCTAAATACAAACGGCGGGAACTCCTTTGCACCGTGCATCACTATGATGCAAAAGAAATGTACCATGCAAAGAAGGCTACAAACGGCGGGAAATACTCTTTTGCACGCGGGTTCTCCTATTGCAGCAGAAAACTCTACCGTGCAAAAAACTGCAATTTGTTGGGAACATAATTTAGCGGTGCCGAAGCACACAAAAACAAAAAACCACAACTTTGGGTTGTGACATCACCCACCGAAGGGAAGACGGGAGCTGCTCCAGAGACTTCCACGTGACTAAAACTGTTATTTAATTCAAAGTAGAATACAGATCATAAACTTAAATTTACTCGTCTTTCTCTGACTTAAAGTTGCCAGATAGTTAAGGCTGATTTGTTTAATCTGATATACACACAATAAAATCAACGTAGGTGCCCTAATCAAGCAAGTAAATCTATTAAATTGGTACGGTACCTGCACACAGTGCTCAGTTACAGGGTGTGATTTTTTGTGGGGTTTGCTGAGACGCCCAGTGAAGAAGCAGGCTTGGCAAAGGTCAAAATTTAGGCACTTCATGCAGCGATATCTGTCAGGAGAAAACAGAAAGGATCAAGCTAACTCTCGGGTCTGAGAATTTCTTACAAAAGAATTGGGATGCTGGCAATCAGCATCCAGACAAATTGAGTTCTTGAGAGATACTGTTAATAGAATAATAGTTTCCCACACCAACGGGAGAGCTGAGATTTTATTAGCAAAACAGGAGCTAGTTGTTGATCTGATGATACTGTTTCTTAGAATGCATCGTTGCAGCAAAACTTCATACAGTGAAGCAACAGTTGTACTTGATATCACCTTAAATACTGCAGCTGCATCTTCATTCTCTCTCATATAGCAGCTTATCTCTAAAAACAGTTCACTAGGAGCTGTAATATCACTGCATGATGTAAGTAGGGCATATGACTTTGGGAAAACTAAGAAAATAACCCAAGTAAATACAAGCTATAAAAAAAAAAAGTAAAATTCCATGTCATGTACTTTTCCATGTCACTGTATGATCATATTCCTTTAATGCTGTTACATGTCTTTGCCTTTCTATGTCCATTCATACTGTCTGTCATGATGGGGTCCTGATCCTGGTGGGCCTCTAGGTGATGCAAGTAATATTACAGTACATATTGATTCACCTTAATCCAGTGATGGGAAAATTCTTGCAGACTCTACATCTAACATTGTGAGTGACCATTTTAGTGGCTGATAATTTATGACAAGTAGGAAGCCACAGGAGAAGGGCGGGTTCAGTTCTTAGCCAAGATAGAAATTTCTCTTCAGCAACTGCTGAGTTCAGAACCTGGAAAAGAGTATCAATTTTATGCATTATTGCATTACATAAAGCTCAAAATATAAACTCCCATCCTAAGCCAAAATCTCTAAACCCAAATGATTTCCTGTCTAATGTAGGACACCATTGACTTCAAAAAGTCTCCATGAGAGGGCAGAGATCCATGCTAGGTACCTCATTATATAACTTCGTTCATTGGTGTCAAGTCTGCTCCAGAGGTTTATCCCTTGGGATTTGGAAATAATCCTACCCCTTAAAATAAAGTAAACTTGGATATTACCTTGTGGTACCTTGACATTTCACTTGGTCAACAATGTTCACAATCGCCTCCACAGACCATCTGAATTCTACTCACCCCATGGAAACAGCTGCGAATAGCTATTTCCACACAGGATGAAGCACAGCTTTCCCCCACGATGGCTGGAATCTGCACCAGAAAGAAAATCAGCTATTCAGGAATACCATGCTAAAAAACAGATGCTGCCACCATGTTTTACTGGGGTGGTATCAGAGCACAGATGGAGAAGCATCAATAGAAAAGCCATTTGCTTCCTTTACTAGAGGAAAGACTGTTTTAATGCAGGCATGTGATTTCAGCGTGTAATTCCAAACTTCATTGTGTGTCAGAGTGACTGTACCTCCACCCCAGTTATTATATATCAATCAACATATTGTGCTGTCAGAGCACTAAACCCAGTAGTGGACAGACTTTGTTTTTGCAACATAGGCTTATTCCACGATCTTTCTAAAAATGCTGATGTGACAAAATTCACCCTGACTCCACCATGGTAGTATCTCCTATCTGAGAGCTCTTTGCAGAGTAAGCTGACAGTTTGTTTTCAGTGAGTAATGCATGACCGATAAGGCCCTGAACCTATAGGCAACTCTGCACAGGGATGGACACATACCTCAATGGAGCCTCTTCAGCACTAAGAGGGCTCAGCATGGGTGCACATTCATGCTTGTGGAACTACTTGTAGGATCTGGCTATCATAAGCTCTGACAAAACTCTCAGCACAGAGGCACTGATGTCAATGGGTATTTTGACTGAGGCTATGAACAAACATACCTTTTAAACTCTTTAGAAGGGGAGGGGGAGCTACTGCTGCTTGGGAGCATGTAACAGCTGTTAGATGTACCCTCTATATCTGCATGCTCCTGTAGCAATACAAGATACCTAAATTACTGTAACTTTCACCTGGACTGAAACGGGACTAAAGTTGCAATAGTTTTGCTATACTTGTATTGCTACATAATTATGTAGATATAACAGTTGTGTCATAGTTTCATAGTTTCATAGTTTCAGGGTCGGAAGGGACCTAATAGATCTTCTAGCCTGACCCCCCGCCAGGGCAGAAGAACAACAAAAGAACCCTAAACAAAAAACGGGACTCAAATGAGTCCAGCCAGGTAGGTATCCAGCCTCTTCTTAAAGATCCCCAGGGTAGGGGCCAGCACCACCTCCCTTGGAAGTTGGTTCCAGCTCCTAGCCGCCCTGACTGTGAAGTAGTTTTTTTGGATGTCCAATCTGTACCTCCTCTCCATCAACTTGTGCCCATTACTCCTTGTTATGCCAGCGGGGGCTAGGGGAAACAGCGTCTCCCCCAAACCCTTCTGGTTCCCCCTAGTGAGTTTATAGACGGTCACCAGGTCCCCCCTCAGCCTTCTCTTGTGGAGGCTGAATAGGTTCAGGTCCCGCAGTCTCTCACTGTAGGGTCTGCCCTGTTGTCCCCGGATCATGCGGGTGGCCCTCCTCTGGACCCTCTCCATGTTGTCCACATCCCTCCTGAAATGGGGCGCACAGAACTGGACACAATACTCCAGCTGCGGCCTGACCAGCGTCGCATAGAGGGGGAGGATCACCTCCCTGGCTCTACTCGAGATGCACCTGTGGATGCACGATAAGGTCCGGTTGGCCCTGCCAACCATGACCTCGCATTGTCGGCCCATGTTCATCTTGGAGTCAATAATGACACCAAGATCCCTTTCCGCCTCCGTGCTCTCAAGTAGGGAGTTCCCCATCATATAAGTGTGCTGCTGGTTCCTACTACCCAAGTGCAGCACCCTGCACTTGTCCGTATTGAAACACATCCTGTTCCTGTTTGCCCACCCCTGTAACCTATCCAGATCCTTCTGCAATCTCTCTCTCCCTGCTAGCGTGCTCACCTCCCCCCAAATTTTGGTGTCATCAGCGAATTTAAACAGGTTGCTTTCCACCCCAACATCAAGATCGCTGATGAAGAAATTGAACAGCGCAGGCCCCAGGACCGAGCCCTGGGGGACTCCACTACCCACCTCCCCCCAAGTCGAGTATGATCCATCCACCACCACCCTCTGAGTGCGACCCTTCAGCCAATCTGCAATCCATCTGACTGTGTAGGCATCTATGCCACAGTCGCCTAGTTTATTAATTAGGATGGGGTGAGAGACGGTGTCAAAGGCCTTGCTGAAGTCCAGAAAGACTACATCCACCGCGACACCTGCGTCCATGGCCTTTGTGACCTGATCATAAAAGGCAATCAGGTTGGTCTGACATGATCTCCCCCTAATAAATCCATGCTGATTGCCCCTGAGCATCATTTCTGATGCCGGCCCATCACAAATGTGCTCCTTGATGATCTTCTCAAAGAGTTTCCCCAGGATTGAGGTGAGACTGACGGGCCTATAGTTGCCCGGGTCCTCCCTTTTCCCTTTCTTGAAGATGGGGACCACATTAGCTACCTTCCAATCGTCTGGCACCTGGCCCAAGCACCACGATCGCTCGTAGAGCCGTGCCAGGGGCCCTGCAATAACCCCAGCTAGCTCCCTCAGCACCCTGGGGTGGAGAGCATCCAGACCCGCTGACTTGAACGCGTCCAGCCCCTCCAGAAGCTCTCTAACCCGGTCCTCCCCAACCTGAGGTCTGAAGGCGATCCCCTCGTGTCATAGCAGCTTAGACTGATATCATTTAATATCTATACAGTTGTTGCATGCGTCCATAGATTTGATACCTACATTCAGATCCTAGAGCAGTTTCTGCACAGTAAATCTCCATCTCCTGAGAGCCCAACTAACTTTATTAAAGAAGCCTATGGAACCTACGTCCCATACATTTTTATCCCTTGCAATAACTCTCTTGGAATTCCTCTTTGAGGCTTGCTGTTTATTCCGCACATGCAGTTTAAGAGCAGTGACAGTACCTCATGTAAGTCTGTTAGTAGACTTCTCAGGGCACTCCGACTCATCGAGGCCTCCTCCTGATCTTTGTCAGCATAAAACTGAAAGAAAGCTGCAAGCAGCCGGAAGAGATTGCTTAGAATCCTGGCAGAGTCTAAAGAGTCTGAACTTACTCGCAAGAAACACTAACGTGACAATTGCTGGATACCTATTCCATCATAGCTAACGAGTTAGAATAGTTTCTAATTCTTGATGATTAGGCCAAGTAAGTAGGAAGAGCACACAATGATCTCATTTTCATGACCATAAGAACTTGCCAGTCTACTGCTGGATTTAGCTTCTGTGATGTTAATTACAAATCAATTTATGTAAAACATATACCTGTGCAGAAGGCCAGCCAAAGGCCCCACATAAACTCTATTTTGAGGACATGCATCACGCATAACCTTTGTGCTGGCCCATTGTATAGAGGGGAGTTTCACTTTTAATACTCAACTCCTTACCTATTATCATCTTTATTTCAAGAGTTCTTCTATCTTTTTCTGTCTGAGACTGAATGCAAGTCATCTTTTCCCAATTACAGTAATTGAACCTGGCTTTTAACTTCTAAGCTTTACTTCTCTTAAGGGATATTATGAACTGCTCTGAGATGCTTATACAAGAGACATTATAGAATGGACATTGATTAATGGATGCTATTCTTCTGCATCAACCTTTTCTGACAATGTAAGGCAGTACATTTTATTTCCATGTATTAACTTTTTGTACAGAAGGACTCTGTTTTCTTTCTGCATAGAAATAAGATATATTGAAAGTGTCGTCAGTACTCAGCACCTAAAAGAGAGTGTAAAGGTCATGGATTCCCACCTCTGTATTTTGTAAGCAGACTGTCTCCTGAGAGAGCAATTAGGGCCCCTGCAGCAGATCTGGCTTTGATAACACCTGTTTCAGATCTGGAACAAGAAAAAAAGGTTAAGTCAGGAATGTGAAACTAAAACTACTAGAATTAAAAGTGTTGTTACAGTGGAAAATGACCTCAAAATCCACAAGGCAAGAATTCTTATTGGTGTTATCTCTTATTGAACCAACTGTATGGTTGGTATAGGCATAAATAAGCTTTTGAGCATCATGGTATCTGAAGCAGACACAGCTGAGACATAAATAAAAGATATTGGCCACAAGGACTCTTGCCTCTCCCAATAAAAAAATATCACCCATAAGAATTCTTGCCTCTTGCATAGCTCCTGGACCATCAGGGCAACAATATCATCTCAACACTACCACTCTCACAGTTTGGGCCCAGCTCCAGTGAGAGAAACATGGGTATAAGCTGGCCGCTCCCCTGTGAGCTAGGACCCTGGCGGACCCTCTGGCGGATCCCTGACCTGACCTCCAGCACAGAGCCAGGAGGCAAGTGGGGCTCGCAGTGGGTGGGCACTAGATAGAGGGGGCAGCTGAGTGGAACCAAAGAGGGTCATGGCCCCCCACAGCTCCTACTTAACTCAGCCCCCTAGGGAGCCACGCAACTGGAGCGGCCTGACGTGTGGGTTAGCATGGGACTTACCTGCCCCTTTCTCTGGAGGGACAGGGGATACCTGTCCCAGAGAGCAGCGTGGCGCTGGCAGCAATCTGTGCATGTGCGGCACTGGCTGCAATCTGCCTATGTGAGGGTTTTAAAAGGGCCCCCCAATGGTAAAAAACCCCCACACAGTTTGGGCCCCGCTCCAGTGAGAGATGCATGAGTGTAAGCTTGTTGTACCCCTATGAGCTAGGACCCTGGCAGACTCTCTGGTGGACCCCTGACCTGACCCACAGTGCAGAGCAGGGATGTAAGTGGGGCCCACGGTGGGTGGGCACTAGATAGAGGGTGCAGCTTAGCAGAGCCAGGGAGGATCGTGCCCCCCATGGCTCCTACTTAGCCCAGCCCCCTAGGGAGCTGCGCAAACAGAGTGCACAAACAGGCATGTTTTGGGCCCAGTGCAAGAGTTTGTGTGGGAGTTTGTGTAGGAGGGTGAGCAGGAGGGGCTATTAGCTGGCACTCTCAATCTAAGTACAGGTTACTGGGGTGGGTGAATGAGAATAGGATGGGATTCAATACTGACAAGTGCAGGGTACAGCAGTTGGGCAGTAAGAACCAGCAGCATACCTATAGGCTGGGGAACTCCCTTCTTGAAAGCACAGTGGCAGAAAGATCTTGGAGTCATTATCGATTCCAAAATGAACATGGGCTGCCAATGTGCGGATGTGGTCAGTAAGGCTAACCGCACTTTGTCATGCATCCATAGATGCATCACAAGCAGGGCCAAGGAGGTGATCCTCCCCCTCTATGTGACACTGGTCAGGCCACAGTTGGAGTACTGTGTCCAGTTCTGGGCGCCTCAGTTTAGGAGGGATGTGGACAGCATCGAGAGGGTCCAGAGGAGGGCCACTCGCATGATCCGGGGACAGCAGGGCAGACCCTACAAGGAGAGGCTATGGGACCTGAACCTGTTCAGCCTTCACAAGAGAAGGCTGAGAGGGGACCTGGTGGCCATCTATAAACTTACCAGGGGGGACCAGCGGGGCATGGGGGAGACCCTATTCCCCTGAGCACCTCCCAAAATAACAAGGAATAACGGCCATAAGTTGTTTAAGAGTAGGTTCAGGCTGGACATTAGAAGGCACTACTTCACAGTCAGGGCGGCTAGGATCTGGAACCAGCTTCCAAGGGAAGTGGTGCTGGCTCCTATCTTGGGGGTCTTTAAGAGGAGGCTTGATAATTACCTAGCTGGAGTCATATGAGCCCAGTATTCTCTCTTGCCTTGGGCAGGGGGTCGGACTTTAAGATCTACTTAGGTCCCTTCTGACCCTACATCTATGAATCTATGAATCTATGACTGCAGCTGTCCTGACATCTGTTGGGAGGACCAACTCCCTCAGGTCAGCCAATTTCTTGGCAGCTATTGTTGACCTGTTCCTGTCTCAGATTGTTGAAGTACCGACTAGGGGTAAAGCCACTGTGGACTTAGTGCTTATCAAAGGGGAGGACATGGTAGGGGACCTGAGGACTGGAGGTACAATGATCATGATCTGATTAGGGTCACCATTCACCAGAAGGCTAGGATCCCAATTAGTAGAACAGAAGTCCTAGATTTCAGAAGGGCAGACTTTGACAAACTCTGGAGGCTAGTTAAAAAGGCCCTCAATGACCAGTGACTGGATGATTTGGGAGTTCAGGAGCGATGGTGCCTCCTCAAGAGCAATTCTCACTGTTCAAAAAGAGGCCATTCTCATGTGACCAAAAAGCAGGAAAGGAGCCAAGACACCCACTTGACTCAACAGGGTTATTAGAGAACTTTTGAAAAAGAAAAAAGATGTATGTAATCAATGGAAAAAAGACTCATCAACTAGAGAAGAGTTCATTTATAAAACCAGGGTCTGTAGGTATGATACAAAAAGCCAAGGCAGGCATGTAGATCAAGCTGGCATCTGAAATAAAGGACAACAAAAAGTCCTTCTACAGGTACATGGGGAGCAAGAAAAAATCGAGCTCCACTGTGGGACCCCTACTGAATATGCAAGGGCAGCCAACAGTTGATCCCCACAAAAAGGCAAAGCTCCTAAATGAATACTTCACATCAGTATTCCAGAAAGCTAACAGGACCTGCACACCTGTTCAGAGGCCCAGGGAACATGGGGAAGCCAACAAACAACATGAAATTAGTCCCAAACAGGTGAGGGTCATCTTAGAACAATTGGATGTTTTCAAGTCTGCTGGGCCAAAATACTTATATCCAAGAGTCCTGAAAGAATTGACTGAACTCCTAGCAGGGCCTCTGGTGAAGATATTTGAAAAGTCATGGAACTTGGGGGTGGTCCTGGACAACTGGAAGAGTGCCAATGTGGTGCCCATCTTTAAGAAAGGGAGGAGGGATGACCCTGCAAACTATAGAGTGGTCAGTCTGACTTCGGTCCTAGGAAAAACTTTTGAAAAAATTGTTAAGGAGGCCATCAATCACAAGCTTCTAACTGACAAGGTATTAAGAAACAACCAGCATGGCTTTGTGGAGGGTAGATCATGCCTGACAAACCTGGTGTCCTTTTATGACCAGGTAACTAACCAGATGGACAAGGGACATGAGGTAGACATCATTTACTTAGACTTCAGTAAAGTCTTTGATTCTGTTTCCCATGAGATTCTCTCAATTAAATTGGAGGGCACCGGCCTAGACCAGTCCAGCCATTTTGAGGCAAGGGCTGCCTATATAAACAAGGCAGTCTGGCTACAGGAGGCCAGGTAGGAACATTGCTTGGCTGAAGGGCTGCTGAGAATGACCTGAAGGTAAGGGGGAGCTGCAAGGGGGTGGTAAGGAGGGTCCTGGTCCTGGTCCTGGTCCTGGTCCTGGTCCTGGTCCTGGTCCTGGTCCTGGTCCTGGTCCTGGTCCTGGTCCTGGTCCTGGTCCTGGTCCTGGTCCTGGTCCTGGTCCTGGTCCTGGTCCTGGTCCTGGTCCTGGTCCTGGTCCTGGTCCTGGTCCTGGTCCTGGTCCTGGTCCTGGTCCTGGTCCTGGTCCTGGTCCTGGTCCTGGTCCTGGTCCTGGTCCTGGTCCTGGTCCTGACCTGAAACTGCACCCTGCCAGGAGTGGGTGGTCTTGTGGGGCTCTCAGTGGCGTGGGAGCCCCCAGGAAATGCCAGGCCAGTTATCACCCCGCTGAAAGGTGGGTTGGGGCACCTTAACCCCTAGCTCCCACCACTGGGTGGGTAACCCTGTGTTTGTGGAGGGATCCAGAGGGTGGACCCTGAGAAAGTGAATGAGTACTGGGCGTGGTGCTGCGGTTGCCCCCGGGAGAAAGAGGGTAGTGGTGCGGTGAGCCTGAGGATAGAGAGTGAGGGGCTAGAGACCCAGCCTGAAGGAGGGAGTACCCTTGACTGGCCCAAGCTGGGGCCAGGACCAGGAGGGTCAGAAGGGCCAGGGGCCCACCGTGAGGGACGCCCAAGAGCCGGGGGCCTGGGGTTCCGACTGGCCTGGAGGTGGGCCAGGGCAAGTGGCCGAAGGTCCTGGGGGGACCACACCTGAGAGGGGAAAGTAGCTTTGGGGAGGGGCTAGGTAGCCTGGATGATGGCGGAGAGGCTGCCTGATAGGAGAGGATCATAGAGGGGTCCTGTTCAGAAGATTCTGGGGCCTAGCGTGGGGCCGGTGACTATGTGAACACCATGATGCCATCTGCAAGGCTTGGGCTGCAGTATTGGGGAGGTTGGAGCTGCAGAGAGCGCCCCCTGGCATTGGGGCACTAAATGGGTAGCCTCCTGCTTAATTGAATCAATTAACACGAAGGCATGGCGGACAAGATAGGCGGGTGGTTGCCCAGAGACAGGTGGGCGGGCCGTGGAGGTCGGCCCTGAGGTGGCCCCCTGTCACATTCAGTAAGGCCTTTGATTCTGTCTCCCATGGAATTCTCTCAGTTAAACTGGAGGGTACCTGGCCTGGCCCAGCCTACAGGGAGGTGGGTGCCTAACTGTCTTAGAGGCTGGTCCCAGTGAGTTGTAATCGATGGTCTCATCCTGAAGGGCTATCTCCAATGGTGTCCCACAGGGATTGGTGCTTGGACCTGTGTTTTTTAACATATTTATTAATGAGTTGGATGGAGGGGTGGAATGCTCTATGATTAAGTTTGCCGGCGATACCAAGCTGTGGTAATGCAGGAAGACCAGAGGATAGGGTAAGGATGCAGGGCAGCCTAGACCAGGCTTGTCCAACGTACGGCCTGTGGGCTGCCATGCGGCCCTCCAAGCCGTTTTCTGAGGCCTGAGGTGCTGTGATGGGAAACAAAAGTAAACGCTATACTTTTGGTTTGGGGGGGTGATGTGATACCACTTCCTGTGAGGTTTTTGAATATGGCTCGCCGGCCCACTGGGTGATAAAGTTCATGATCTGGCCCCACATTCAAAAAGGTTGGACACCCCTGGCCTAGACAGA